AGAGTGGTTATAGCATGTTCTAATCATGCTGTGCTATTTCTGTTTGAGAAAATTTATTTCCACTCCCTTGAAGAAGAAGATTCTCCAAGCTCTTGTGAATGATCAGAGGCACCTCTACTTTTTTTGCATATTTTATGATGATTCCTCTTTTTTGTCCCTAAAAACCCATAATGGTTGTACCAGGAAGGTGCAGTTATAACTGCTATTGAGTTTGTCTTTATCCTTCCTTGAATCAGCAGAAAGATTGAAAGAATTAACCCTTTTAGCTTAGAGTCAGGAACTTAAGCTTGTGCTTCAGGGTTTTTTAAGCCTGGTCTTTTTTTTCCCTGCGTTAAGAGTAGTGCATTGTGAGGATAGTTGTTAGGGTCATTGCAGACTCTGAAGAATATCTGTTTTACTGCTTTAAGGCGCAGATAATGTTATTTATTGCCTTTCAGAGCTGGGTGACAGAAATGAATGAAGATGATTATAAATCACAGTTTATTGAAACAGATATACTACATGAAAGACAAGATAACTTGCCTCCCATTCGTTGTTCTAGCAGCTGTCTTCCTGCTAATCAGGTATCTTCATTTTTCTAAAGCTGTATTTTTACAAATATATGTTAATTGTAGGTTTTTCTAGAATCAGAAATTTTTGTTTGTACAAACTCGTACTCATTGAGCCTTTCCTTACAAGATTTATTTTGATAATCAGAAAAACAAAACCAAAAAAACCCTATAAATTCCCTTGCAAGAGATGAATGCGCAAACAAAAGTGCCTCTTTAGTATTAGCATGTGTCTTGTAATAATGTTTTAATTCTAATCGGGAATTCATTTCTGAAGCAAACCTCCTTAAGCTCCATTTTATGCGCTTTGATTCTCATTTCACAGTGTTCTTAAGCTCCTTTTGGATGAAACTATACTAGGAGATTTCTCCAGCTGCCAGTAGGCATTTGTTCCATTAAGCCAGACTGAAGCTAGTCCGAAACAAATACCCTAAAATACATACTATATGGATATTGGATCCTCTGCACCAACTATTTCACTGTATAGCCCCTTTTATGTTTGGCTGCACTACTGTAAATGTAGCCTTTGACTCCCCTTATTTTATACCTGGATTTGGTTTTCCTGCTTCGTATTCTTAGAGAGCAGCCAAACTCCTAATTTAGCTTTACAGCATATTTAACAAATTTTCAGAACTACAATGTAAACATTTGAATTTCTTCTAGGTATTAGTTTCTTCATTTTCATTTTCATTTTTCATTTATTTACCTGCCCAAAAAAATATAGTGCTGTAGGAGGCGTTGACAGAAGAGTAGGTGTGGGAATGGGATTTTTTTTGAGTTGTTAGATGTTATCATGGATGGCTCCAATCTGTTTTCCTCTCTTTGTTTGGAATTCTGGGACCTTGTTATGATGAATTCACTAAAAGATTTTTCCTTTTTGTAGTTATACATACAAATTCAAGATGTTCAAAATGTTATGAAAGGATCTTTACGAATCACATGATCTTTTCTATTAATTGTTAATTTAACAATCATCTTGGAATACTTATGTATTAGTAAATGTGTGAGTTCTGTGTTGACGAGAACTACTTACTATCAGCTAATATTTAGACACCAGACCTAACTATCCCAGGTACTGGGATAGCTATGCCCTCTCCATTATTTGGGATTCTAAGAGGCTGGGAATTCTACTAGAAAGCTTTATAAGTGCTTATTATTGAGATTAATTTTTTCATTAATCTATCTCAGTTCACATTTTGCAATATAAGTTCCTCTTGGCTATCTTATTTTGCTGAGATGAAAAGTGCCACTGTAACTTGATTACTCTGGGTTTATGCCCTACATGAGTGTTTCTTAGAACATAAAATGGTAAATAAAATATTATGTTAGCTCAGTGAAATCAGAAGTGGAATATTAGCATAAACTGGTGGAATGTGCCTTAAAGTCTAGGATATACAGTTTTACTAAAGAGGATATGATCTTCATTTCAAAGTTTTTATCGTCTTTATTCTCCGTAGGACCTTTAGGTAGTAACACAATTTTTGTAACAAGGAAACCTAGGTATAGCTTTATGCATTATCTGTTGTATATTACCTCCTTTCCTTTTGTCCAAATAGACTGCCTCAGAAATAACTTTAATCTTATCTGAAAGAGGGAAGGGAGGCCTGAAATCGAGTTTTAGAATTCTGTTTTTCATATAGCAGTGCAATTATACCACCACTAGATCACAACTGAGTAAATGGAAGCTTTTTGTACAGTCTACACTACATCACCTGCGATATCAAAGCTCAGAAAAATTGGATTAACACACTTTAGTTGCTCTTTGTTTTCTTTCTTGCTGATAAACTGCATGTAATCTAATAGTTTTTAAATATGTTTTACTAGTCATTTAGGACTGTAATTCTTTTTTAAACTGGGATCACATAATTTTGTAACATGATATCAAGAGTAAAGTTGGTCTGATACGTTCCTCCTATTAGAAAGAAATACACAATCCTTCCATTTAATGCGTGTGTTATTTGATTGCAGACTGCGTATATTTAGTTGACTTGATGCATAAAAAGTCCTGTTATCTTATGTGAAGTCAGTCCTGAAAACCCTGCGTGACCCCTACCTAAGTCAGTGTATTATGCCAGTGGGTACAAGTTTGACAGATGAAGACATCTGTTTTATCTGTAGCCAGATAATCTTGCTGATGCTAAATGTAGCTACAGTTTCAATTTACTGCTAATAGCTTATATCTTTGTATGGTTCTTTCTTCTTATAAAGTTATGGGGAAGATTGTCCACAAATCAGTAGATAAAGAGTGAACTTTATGCGGAATTTCCCTCTTTTAGACAAAGGGGAAGTTCATCTGTCTTGCATCTCTGTTTTCATTTCAGGCTGCGCAGTACTTTGTGGTTACATCTATGGTTCAAAATAAAAGGGGATCGGGGAGTCAGCTTTACTGTTTGTGTCCACACTGCTAATTACTAGCTTTGCTGTCTCATGCTTTCCAGGACAGCACTAAAGCATGGGTTTAGAGATACTCACTTAGTATCCATATGGATGAGTTTTTAGCGGATTGAGGTTCCTATTCCCAGCACAATTTTCTAATAATTTTCCAGAAAGATTTGTGTCCTCAGATACCACCTAATGCTACAGTCCAGGGCATGTCACATACTCCAAATTTCACATTGAAAGAATCCACTGTGATGGTCTGTATACAGAATCACAGAATGGCCAAGGTTGGAAGGGAGCTCTGGAGATCATCTAGTCCGACCCCCCTGCTCAAGCAGGGTCATCTAGAGCACATTGCCCAGGATTGCCTCCAGGTGGGTTTTGAATATCTCCAGCGAAGGAGGCTCCACCACCTCTCTGGGCAACCTGTTCCAGGGCTCTGTCACCCTCACAGTAAGGACATTTTTCCTCATGTTCAGATGGAACTTCCTGTGGTTCAGTTTGTGCCCGTAGCCTCTTGTCCTGTCACTGGGCACTGCTGAGAAGAGTCTGGCCCCATCCTCTTGACACCCTCCCTTCAGATACTTGTACACATTGATCAGATCTCCTCTCTGTCTTCTCTTCTCCAGGCTAAACAGTCCCAGCTCTCTCAGCCTTTCCTTATAGGAGAGATGATCCAGTCCCCTAATCATCTCTATAGCCCTCCGCTGGACTCTCTCCAGTAGTGTCATGTCTCTCTTGTACTGGGGAACCCCACAATTGGACACAGTACTCCAGGTGAGGCCTCCCCAGGGCTGAGTAGACGGGCAGGATCACCTCCCTCGACCTGCTGGCAACACTCTGCCTAGTGCACCCCAGGCCCTCATGTTATTTCAAATATTCTGAACTGAAAAAGAACAGTGATGAGCTGATACAGATTAATAATATCTCAAGCCACCACGTGGGGCCCAAAGGAGAACAAGGACCTAACTCTGTGTCATGTGAACTGAAGCTAGCCTATTTCACTTGACCTTTCATCCAGGAATTGTTCACTGGCCATCAAAGTCTATGGGATCTGTGCATGGTGAATTCTGGCAAAAAAAAAAAGACAAGGGCCAAAATTTTTAGTTCTTTGCTTCTAATATAAAGTACGAGAGAAGAGCTAACACAGGATGAAAACAAACTTTTCATGAAAGGCTCTTGGGTGGGATGGAATATTAGTGACTGAGAAATTCCTGACTCTGCTAGAGCTGCAGCTTGGTTACTATGGTCCCAAGAATATGAAACCTGGAATTTTAAGGATTTGTGCATTTTTAAGTCAACATTTCTGTCTTGTTCCACCAAAGGACAAGCTGGCACTTCTCTCCCTATGCTACAGTTGCATTAATGTAAATACCTTATGAGTTTTCTTCTGAAAGTTTCACTGCTTTTGTGGTAACTGTCTGCCTTCCTATTTAAGTTATGGAATTCTCTTTCGAAAATAGGTGTGGTATTTAATAAATGAGTGAGTTCACAATATACATCAGGATACATACATAGTGATAAATCAGATTTCCAGGGAGCCCTATTTAGGCATCTCCACTTCCAAACATGCATTAATCCCTAAATATATAGTTGTCATTTTCTCTAGCTTCTTGAAAGATCAAGAACATTAAGAGTAGTCCTGAAGTCACATACTCCAAAAGTTCATGTAAGCTAACATAAATATATAAATGTTAGGTTACAGATAGCCTAAAGTGTCTACAGGAAGGGTCACATTTCCATTATGTAAATTGGTCTGTTTATAGCCAAAGGTATAAGTATTTCCTTGTTACAGCGTCACTACTTGTAAAGGTAGTTTAAGAGGTTGTGGTTTGTTTCTTTGGTTTGCTTTCTCACATGCTTAGTTGCTGGTTCAAATATTTAGGGATTGCAGTGTAAGCTGTATCAGATTGTTTGAACGCAGGTGCGTGTCAGTCTGCAACCCCACAAACAATTACATTGGTCTAACTCCAGGAGCGATGGATTGCAGGGAGAGCAGGGCTGGGTGGCCAGGGCAGAGGGAGTGGCAGTATTTTGAAGTGGCCGTGCCCCTGGGGAGTGCCTGTTTGGAGCCACACCTTGTTGTTAAGTACTATTGGAGTCGGCAAGCGGGGAGGGGCAGTTCAAAAGCATAGTGTCATGACAGAGGTACAAAAGATTCCACAGGTACCGCCCGGCCGTGGAAATAGGTTCCATTAGCGTAGGACACCAGTTGGTACTGGAACTGATTGTAGCAGGAAGTTCAGAGAATAAATTTTGGGTAAGGCAAATCTTAATAATGGAGCTTGTCCAAAAGATAGAATGTAAATCATCTTGGGAATTAGCTTGATGGGAGTGTGAAATAGTCAAAGGAAGTACAGAAACTCTTTGGAAGTCAAACCAAACTTTTATGTTAAGTTGGTTTAGAGGCTCCAGGGGCTGTCAGAACCTGTGTATTCCATTCTCTCGGGAATGGCAGGCCTAAAATGAGGTTAGTGGTTCAATCTTTGTGTCAAACATCTCATCACAAGGTTAAGCAGAGTCCTCCTTTGCTATGTTGAAAGGGCTGATTTGGAACGTGACAACACAAGATACTGATTAGGAAGAGCTGTCTCTTATCAAAAAGTCTTATCCAGCACTTCTGTGGCATGTAACAGGGCAGTGGAGAGAAAGTGTGAGACTGAAGATCTCCGAATACAATATGTCAAATACATAAAAGATTTTCTTTAAAGCAAGATAAATGAGGTTTACAAGACTATGTTGAGATCAGTCATAAACAGTGTTACTTACAAGTGATATGTACTGCAGGAACAAACAAATAGGCTGTGAATGTCCTTTTCTAAAAACTGTCTTACAGGATGGCTGTTTCTCTTTCAGAACAAAAGTTTACAAAGCAAACAAAGAAACAAGAAAAATGTACCACGGGATTACAGTGAATGGGACAAGTATGTTATATTCTTTATATTTAAGTTTTTCTTAACTCTTATTTATTTACTTATATAACAATAGAACACAATTATTAGGCTTTTTAAAGTATTTTCCAGAAACTTAATATTAAGGTCAACATTTTCACAGAATTATAGGACTTCAATGAAACTTAGGTTTTTCATAATAGATGTTCTGTTAAAATGGAAATGATGTAATGTGGTGCTAACAGCTGAAAACAAGTTAGCCTATACCTTGTTGTTCAAGCTGACTGAAATACAGCAAGACAACAGAAAATAGTAAGTAATTTTGTTTCAGATCTCATTTTCTCTTTCTGCGTCTAAGATGTAAAATCTAGGGAGGTACATAGAAACACGGAACTAAAAATAGCTTAATTTACCAGCTTTTTGAAAGAATTTCTAAGGTTATTTAACACACGTTCATAAATTTTATCTTCTGTGTATCTAAAGCCACAATTCTAAATTGGAAAGAAAGTTGGTGAATCCTTATTCTTGCACTGAGTCCCAACAGCGTCAAAGAATAAGCTTGAGGCAGGTGCATTAGTTTGCTCAAATGTAGTTACGCATAATCAGGTTTCAGAAGATACCTGACTACTTCTAGGGTGGGTGGAGCTCTGATGCAAAGGCACTTTCTGCATCATGTAATGAAGGTGTAACAACCTTCCCCAATTACATGACAGATTCATGCCCCCAAGTTGTGGAGCTGTGGAGAGAGGATGCGCATACATGTCTGTTCTGTACAGTAGCAGCTTCTCTCCAGCTCCTTGAATCTGGAGTATGATGCTGTAGAATCAGAACGATGATGCATAGGTTTCCAGTGCTGCAGATGGGGAGGTAAATGCAGAGCCTGTGGGGTGTGAGTAATGAAACTCTTTCAGTATCTCGGAAAAACTACAAAAGCCCTTTCTGCATAAGACACTGTTCTTGCAAACAGTTGTGCCTATCAGTTTCATGTATATGGATTGCAGAAATTGGGAGCTTCCTATTTAAATGTGGATGAATGAAATTTGTTATCAAAAATAACTTCTACAAGAGTTTATTCTTTCATCTCTTTCTCCTCTGTATCTTGTTGTTGTTTCTGCAATTTGTTTACAATGATATGTATGTCCTCAGTCTTTAAGTGCTTTGCCATGCTGATAATATTACAATTGTTCGTGAATTTTCCCACAGAATGTATGCTTTTGTAATACTTGTGTACTGAAACAGAAGTCTTTTGAAGGAAATTGTCAGGTTTGAAGCATATCCTGTTTTCAAAACATTTTGAAGATCATTTCCAAGTCATCAAATCATGTTTAGACAATTCTGAGCAAAAAAGTTTCACTTCATATTTTAAAAACATTTATTTTGAAATGTGGTTATTTTATAGCAAAAAGCTAAAAATAAACTTGCAAAAATGAGAATCAAAATGGACCACAATTGGTCTTATCTGAAAATATTTTGAATTGCATAAATTTTCAAAATTTCAGATTCTGTCCCTATTTCAGATGGGAATTATTCAAATTGTCAAGATTATTGTGGAAAGCAAAGGCTATTTCTCATTAAGTCCTAAATAGAATAGTAGTGTAGTGTTTCTAGATCATATAGGAGCTGATTATTACTGTATTTGTTTTCTTGGACTATGGCAACAATATTTATTCAAAAAAAATTCCTAAACACCTTTTTCAAAAGCCACTTCAGAGTAGCCTGGGAAGAGCCTGAGATGCTATTTTGAAATCCCTCTCACATTTAAAGTATTAATCACTTTGAAGCCATTTCTTAGATATTTATGACAGAAGTTAATACAGGTGTTTGATAGGACTGAGACTAAGCCTGAAGATGCGGTTTCTTAAATTTTACCTGTCTTCTGTTGCATGTAGTTTATCGAAATTTGGGGAGGGGAGTGTTCTTGTTTGTTTGTTTGTTTTCTTAACCAGAAGGGAGGAGAAAGAGGGGAAGTAATACATTTGTATATGAGAAGCACAAAAAACAACACAGGGAAAAGAAGTAAGACTTAACATCTTTTATCTGGCTAGTCATGGATAACTGAACGCAGATGACCTTTATCACTGATTTCCTTTGGTTTATAATGAAAATGTAGTATGCCTTTTTCATAGCAGAGGAGGCATGCATTCTTGTATTTGTTATTTTTATTAATTTAAGGTTCGATGTGGAAAAGGAGTGCTCTAAAATTGATGAAGGCTGTGACGAAAATAACTCCAAAGCAAGATTCTTCACTAGACCAAGTTTACCTGTAATTGATAAGAAAATAGATACAACAGGTAATGACTTAGAAGTATACAGTTTTTCTTTTCTTTAATTGTAATACTGTGTAGCAGATTCTGCACACAAATTGAAGAAGTGCATTCCAGAGGAAAAAGTGTGATTTTTGGATCTGAGCCCCTAGACATGATAAAATATTTATGATGTCAAGTGAGAAAAATGCCGTCTTTGAAAAAAATCTAATCTTACTATTAATGGTCAGTTGAAATATTTATATTGTATATAAGTTAGAGAGAGGTAGGTAAAGATAGAAAACTTCTTCTATTATAAACAAAGATCTGTTTGCTACCAGCAGTTAAGGGGGGACCTCTGGAATATATAGGCTTTTTGATATTCCTGGATATAGGTTCACAAACCACTTGCATTTTGTATTGTAAATTAAATGTGAAGTGTAAGAATTTAGGTTTTTATTATAGAAAATGAAACACAAACTTGTGTTTTAATAAGCTGTGTTCTTTGCAATTTTTAAAAATAATATACAGAAGATGACATTCAAAATATTTAGCTGAAAAGATTTTGATAGCATCTATGCAACTTGTTAGCTGTTGTTATATATGAATATTTTTCTCTAGGCATGACAAAGAAAGACAAGATCTTTATTGCTACTCGTGAAAAGGAAAAGGGCAATGAAGCCTTTGCTATTGGGGATTATATGGAAGCAGTGACATATTACACTCGGTGAGTAAATACTAGTACATTCCTTTATTTTAATGGCTGTTACTTGTGAACATTACATGTAGAGCAATCAGATTATGGCAACTTTTTACTGAAGTAATAGCTAATGACAATTAGATGATTTTCAAAAGGCAGAAAGACTTGACAGAAGAATACTTAAAGTACTTAAAGTACATCCTGATATTCATTTTTATTACTCAGGAAAAGAAATAGATGATAGTAACGGGACAAAACTTACAGGTCTCAGAGTTATTCAGATTTTTCAAAACAGCTGAGAAGCTACAGCAAGTTGATAAAAGGATAAACAGCATGGTAAGAAATTAATTTAAATGCTAACAGATTTAGTGACAAATTAATAACAGAGATAATCCTACTAAGATGCATTAATAAGTAAAATTAATTTATTTAAGCCTTCTGTTTAGAAAAAAAAAATTCATTATGTGCAGCTTCATCATACCACTGTAATTAGCAGTAGACCAGAAGAAAAAAATAGTAACACTGGATTAAAAAAATATGAGATTCTTACAGGTTGCTTGCCTTAATTAGTACACTGTGAATTACATTCAAACTTTGAATTTATTTATATAAATAGAGATTGCTGCTATAGGACCTCTTTTATATTTTTTTCAGAAAAGTTCTAGGTGAATGGGATCAGGTATGACAGGAGGAGAAAGAATAGTGTTTCAGTTAAGATATCTGAATGCTGCCTTGGAAAACTATATTTTTTTCTATGTTTTTCACAGTGTTCAAATATAATGCCATTTATACAAACGCAGATTTTCATACGAAGCCAACATTTGTTTCTCGTTTGCAGATTACCCAACTTGAGACACAAAGTGCTGACCACTCACACCTAAAACTGAGGCTAATGGAAACTCAATTCTGTGTTGAACTCTTTCCTTTAAAAGAGTAATCACTTAAAAAAAAAAAAAAAAAGCCCTAGATGTGTCAAAGTGGTCACTTAGAATTGGAGAGCACGTGGGAGTCTTGACCTGTTAATTACCAATGTCTAAATTGAGGGCAATGATATGACACTACTGGGAAATGAAGTGTTAAGATAATTCATAGGCTATGCTATTATCATGGCTCGTCCTTGGAAATTTTATGAAGAAGTTAACGTGTCTCTGATCAGTGCAGAAAAGTACACAGAAAATAATGAATAGGAGTAAATTGTGTGTAACAGGATTAAATATTGAATAGATTTATGTTTAGGAAGCACTAAAGGCTGTTTAGGTCACTGAAGGATGCCAGGTTTTGTGGAACAGGTAGTTTCTGAAAACTTAACTGGAGATGATTGATGTATATATGTGCACAGAAGTATTGTATTTGTATTGCTGAGGCTATCTAAACTGAGACGTCTCATGTATATTTTTTTGTTTTTGACTTGCAACCCTAACATTTTTTATTTTTTTTAACATGTGAATATCAAAAACATTGCAGCTGTATTTCATATACCTATATATATATTAGGTATATATGGATAAAGGATACATCCATAAAATAAAAGTAAAAAAAAAATTCCCTGCTTTTTTTGGCCATAAATCAGACATTAAGAATGGGCAGAAACTTCCCTAATGGAGAAGTCTTTCCAAATTGCATCACCATAGGTATTGTACACCTTTTTCTGAAATATTTGGATAGTGCTCCTTAATACTGTTCTAACTGGACCTTTTTCTAATACCATCTGAAAATTCCTATTTTCTTACATTTAGAAATACTTAAAGTATATTTTGGAGTGGTTGATAGTAGTCTGAAGGGATTATGTGTATATGGCTAAAAAAGGGAAAAATAGTAAATTCCAGTATAAAAATAAGCAGGGTACAGTTACTCATTCCGTTTGTTCTCTAGTGAGCTCTGTTGTTGTAAGCTGAACATAGATAGTCTGTTCTATTTTAGTCTTTTTGGTTTACAAGGAAACCGTAAATTTCCCTCTCATTTCCAAAGAGATTCAGAATTCCATTTGCACAGGTCATGCTCTGATATAATTCTATTATGTTGATATAATTTTAAAATAAATAGGTCTTACCTATTCTTTCTCATGTGAAATCATATTGCTCAGTGATTTTAGTTTTACCAGAGAATCGTAAAATAATTTAGGTTGGAAGGACTGGAGGATATTTTGTGCAAACTGCCTCTTAGAGCAGGGCCAAGTTAGATCAGGTTACTCAGGGCTTTGTGCAGTTAAATTTTGAATATCTCTAGAGGTGGAGACTTCACAACCTCTCTGGGCAGCCTGTTGCACTATTTAACTACCCTTACAGTGAAAAATTTTTCCTAATACCTGGTCAGAAAATCCCGTGTTGCAACTTGTGTCCGATGTCTCGTCCTATCAGTGTGCCCTTCTGAGAAGGGTCTGGCTCTATCTTCTCTGTACCCTCCCACTAGGTAACTGAGAACAGCATAAGACCTCTGAGCCTTCCCTTCTGGCTGAACAAATGTAATTATCTCAGCCCCTCCTCATCAGTGCTGCATGTACTCCAGGCCCCTCCAGGGGCCTCTGCTGGACTGACTGCAGTTTGCTAGTGCCTTTTATGTACTGCGGAGCCCCACACTGGACATAGTACAACAGATGTCATCTCAGAAGTGCTGAAGAGAGGGAGGGCTGAGGGTAAACATTACCAATAAGAAGTGAGGCAAAGAAGGCACTGAGTACCTTTTCGATGTCCTTTGTCACTAGGTCCCTTGCCCCATTGAGCAGTTAGCTCAGAGTTTCCTTAATCTTTGTTTTACTGATGATGCACTTTTCAAAAGCTTCTCTTGTTGCCCCTCACATCCCTTACTAGTTTCAAGTCCAGCTTTGACTTTCTTAATTCCATCACTAATGCGTAGGCAGTGCCTCTATATTCCTCTTGAGTAGCCCATCCCACTGCCATCTGCTGCGTACTTCATTTTTGTATTTGAGCTCAGGCAAGAGTTCCTTGTTTGTCTCATTTGCCATGCTTGCTCAATCTCCTCCACCCTGGAAAGGATCGTTCTTGTGCTTTGAGGAGGCTGTCCTTAAAGATCAACCATCTCTCCTCGTCCCCTTTGCCCTTCAGGGCAGTCTCCCTGCAATCCTGCCAGGCAGACTCCTGAACAAGCCAAAATCCTGTCTTCTGAAGTTCAGGGCTGTAATTCTAGTGTTCATATTGCTCACTTCTGCCAGGATCTTACACTCTACCATCTCATGGTCGCAGCAGCCAAGGATACCATTGATTCTCACATTCCCAACCAGTTCTTGTTTGTAAGTAACAAGTCCCAGTAGAGCATCTCCCTGCTCAACTTGTTGATCACGTGTGTCAAGAAGTTGTCTTCAGTATGCTCCAGAAATCTCCTAGATTTCTTGTGCCTTTTCAATTTGCCCTTCCAGCATTTATCAGGGTAGTTCAGGTCTTCCGTGAGATGCAAGGCCTGCAACTGTGAGGCTTCCTCCATTTGTCTGAAGAAGACTTCATCTGCTTGCTCTTCTTTGCCAGTCTGAAGCCGGCAGTTACTGTGATGTGACCATATTGGTCTGTCCTCTTGATCTCGTCCATCAGCTCTTGATGGGCTTGTTGCCTGTTCCAGGACAAACCTCTGCACATTTCAGTCACTCCTGTGACTAGAACTCCACTCGTCTTCCTTGCCCTCCCAGCCTGTTCTTCCTAAGGAGCCTGTATCCATCCATCACAGCACTCCAGTGAGGCAAGCTATCCCACCATGTCTCTTTAATCCCAGTGAGATCATAGCTTGACAACTACACATGGTTTTCTTATTCTTCTTGTTTCCTGTGCTTTGTATATTTGTGTACAAGCACATGAGACAGTCCTCCAGTCATGCTACTTTCAGAGAGAAAGTGGGAGAGTCTTTTCCAGCATGCCGTCCCCTGGACGCTTCCATGTTGCTCCCACTTCTCTTTAGGTTTTGGCTACCATCCCCAGTGGACCTAGTTTAAAGCTCCCTTTGATAAGTTAGCAAGTGTGTCGTCAAAGATGCTCTTGCCTCACTTGGTCAGATGGATCCCAGCCATCCTCATTCCTCAGAAAGGGTTCTGTCATAAAAGCCAAAGCCCTGCTTACAGTATCATCCGTGCAGCCAGGCACTCACCTGGAGGATTAATGCACTTCTACCTAAGCCTTCCCATTTTACAAGCGAGACAAGGAGAAGCCCAGCCTGGGTCCCCATGCTCTTCAGCATAGCCTCCAGAGCTCTGTAGTCACTCCTGCTACTTGTGAGTCTTCATTTGGCAGTATCGTTGGAACCTACACGGATGGGAAGCAAGAGTTAATAGTTTAAAGGCCAGATGATCCATGGCAGCTTCTCTGCATCTCAGATCTAAGCCCCGGCAAGCCATCCCAAGACAGTAAATCTCATTGGTGGCTGCCTCTGTTCCTACAGGAAGGAGTCTCTAACCATGATCATTAATTAATATCAATATTAATATTGTTTTAATACTGTTTTCAGCTTGAAATAGTGAAGTGTTTCTACATTCAGGTTTTCTAGATGTAAGCCTACCATGATCAATTTTCTGTCTTTTTCAGGAGTATATCAGTATTGCCCACTGTGGCTGCATATAATAACAAAGCTCAAGCAGAAATCAAGCTTCAGCACTGGCACAGTGCTTTGCAGGATTGTGAGAAGGTGCTAGATATGGAACCTGGCAATATAAAAGGTAAAGTGAAATATAAATTTGCCTTCTTGCATATTAATTTATTTCTAGCAAAAAAAAAAATGGTACAATGTGTACAGTGGTACAACAATCCAGTCATGTTGTCGTTTGACTTCACTGAGCTTTGAATCAGTTCCAAATATGAAGAATGAAACGGATTAGTTCCCCAAACTAACTTTTAACAGTAATTTGGGGGTTAGAGCAGTTTTATGCAGCCTGTTCTGTTGGTCTGTAATGGTTATTCTAATGTAGTAGCGTGGGACTAACTCTTACTCTTCGTATGATGATTATAAGCCCTCTTGTATTTATGCAGTGCATTGTTGTCCATAATATCCACATTGAAGTATTAATCACCTTAAAAGCAACATGAAAACAGTGAAAGGTGCTGGTTTAATCCTTTGTGTAGGTAAGTGCTTGAATATAGCTAACCATACTTGCATGGGAGGAGGGGAGAAATTGGAAAAATATAAAGAGATCATTCACAGTTCATGATCACTATCTCAAATGAAGGTGTCGTGTCAAATTGCCATTATTAAAAAAGATCAAGACAGCAGTAATCAGTAGCACCTCATTTTGAGGTAAATACAGACTTTTAAAAATCATTTTACGCTTATACTTTGTATACATAGAAAAATAGTGTGGTGTTATCTTCTTTATGCTTTAAGAGTATATATAAATAATACACTTTCTTCCTTTGTAGCTCTGATGCGCCGTGCCACTGTACACAGTCATCTGCAGAATTACCAGACAGCTATAGAGGATCTGATGAAAGTATTATATGCTGAACCAGAAAATGCCATAGCTAAGGTAAAATTAAATTACTTGCATGTGCCTAAAAAAAGGCTGCATGGAGTTGTAGAATGAGGTGCGTACAGTTTATATTGTTTGATTTGAACATAAGTCCTGAGTACACAAGTGATCTACTATGCCAGTGAACCACTTCTCAAGGCCACATAGGTGCCTATAGCGGAAATTTAGGCACCTAAATGGGATTCACCAAGTCTTGTCTTCACTACTTATTCCTGAGAGCCTGTAGGCACTGAAGTTTTCTCTGTTAAAGTAATTTAGGGTCCTAAAATTCTGCTGAACATGCACTCATAGGGTTACTTTCTTGGCTGATCAAAGTTGTTTGGAAATTTTTCTCAAAAAGATCCATCCTGATAGGTACACTTGAAGTTTGACGCACATCACAAGAAACATTTAAAAAAATGTGTCAAACTTTTATACAGGAATGCTGTAGCAGTACTGTTAACCCAAAAGGAGAAGACTAGGGTTCTGTCCCCTCTTCTACGTAATATATGAATACTCATTTCTCACCTCCAAGCTACAATGAGGGCCCTTTAATACCTGCTGATGAATCTGGACCCTTCTGAGACAAAAATGCATTATTTATGGGATTAGAGAGAGAAGCAGGCAATGACTCAGTAGCCCAGTCTTTCACAAACGTGTAAATGGTCTCTGGAGCACAGATAAGGTTTTAGGATATGTGACTATAACTGACTTTTAGATAAGTTCATTTAGAGAAGGATGCACTTTCTTACCACTATGATCTTCTCTTTGTGAATACAGATGAAGTAGAAATGCTAATCAGGATGTGTGTTCTGGTCTCACTACAGGTAAAGTGGAAGCTGCATTTACTTTAATTAATTCCCAATGTTTAGTCTTGTAGATGTTTTCCCTGCATTGGGAAGAAGCAGCCAGACTTTTATGACTAGGATCAAAAATTGCAGCCTGCGTATCTGTTGCAGGGGAATACCCACTTCAGGCTGGGTATCAGAAGAGATGCCAGAAACTCCACTGCCATAGAATGATTTGAGAGGCCTCACTTATCTAACCAAGGCTCATTCTCCATGCAGCAGCTCTGGAGGTACTTCGAGAGTCATGAAATTGCCTCCATTTTGCTTCCTTTTATATCTGACACTGTGCATCCCATTCCACTTTATCCCTTTACATGAGAGTTGCTTTGGCAGAATTAGGCTCTCTGCTGATACTGTAATGAATAAAATCAGCAGAGGGAAAGTATATAGCAAGGGGTACCTTGGGTGTTTTGTAGCATCCAGACAGGATGGTCACCCCTTTTGGACCTAAGAAAGCAGGATGCTTTCTTCCCAAATTCAGGGTCAGGATGGAGACCTTGTACTACTATTATTTCAACTACACAGGAGAAGATTGATTCATGTTGTTTAATCTGTATTTTCTTAAGGGTGATTTGTGGTTTAGAATCCAGTCCTTGCATATGGGCTCTCCATGTCCCTGGGAATCTTCAGTACTAGGCAGTTCTGGTGCTAAACTGCTCTTTGCCTGTCGATTAGGAGCCCATCATGCTGCTAACCTCCCTGTTTTGTTTAGATACAATTCCAAGACCGCGTGCAGTCACCTCATTAGGTGAATTCTGTTTGGCTCTTATTGCTAGCACATTTTGAGCTGCTAGCAGCTTGCATACTGTTACTTCTTTCTGTGGAGTTATTCAATCTTTGTTATTGCTTGCACCAGAACGTGGGAGAGGGGTCCACATCTGTATGTAAAATTCAACACATACAGTGTTCATCTCTGACAGGACATTCCTGCAGCTAAATTCCTATCCAGAATAGGTCCTGAGTGTCACATCAAGCAAGGAATTGACCTACCCGCTTTCTTTTTTTTTTCTTTCTTGTTAAAGACCAGTCTGTTTAGAATTAAGCGCTAAAAGAGCTCTTGGCTTTTTTTCTGTTTGGAAGACTGGACCACTAAATAGCTTGTGAGTCTGCGTTGACAAACTCCACAACGGTATCTGTGGAAAGATTATCAAATAGACTGTGCTGAGACTTCTTACACTACTAGACAGACATAAAGTGCTATCCTTCACCATGGATACATTCTCCCAGAGCTCCAAGTATGTTAGTCAGCTTTAATGAGTAATGCTTCTGTTGCTGAAAGCAGATGTCTGGACTTTGTCCGTATCTTTGCCAGCTGTTATGTCCTGGGTGAGGCATCTAGAGGTGCTACAGTGCTTGGCAGGGCATTTCTTAAGTTGCTTTTTGACTGGAGGATCCCCCAAACCCTCATGAGTTAAATATGAATGTATGGATCGCAGTTGGTATTACACACAGAATGGTTGTTTATGTGTGGACTCAAAGAAAGACAGACAAGTTGCTTATCAGTTAGTGGATTTCATTAAGGTGCGTTGTCCGCATGAATTTTTGCTTATTCCTGTCCTTGTTTTCTCTTAATCTTGATGGAATGAGTGCTGAAATGGCACTTCCTTGTACAGCATGTTTAAAAAAAAACAATAATGAATAAGGTTGGATGTGTCTTACTCTGCTCTGAAAGTGTAAAGGGCAATTGGAGAGTTTTTTTTTTTTTTTTAATTAATCCAGAAATGATTACCAAATGAGGGGCTGTTTAATCGTCCCAATTTGTACTTCTTGCAGTAGTAGCAAACCTTTTCATTATTCAACAGGGCACTTCTGCTACACTGCTAAGAAATTGTTATCTCTTTGATTCTAGTTATATCAGTTACATTCCTCCCTCAAATACCCATCAGACACTGAGCTCTCCATAGTATACATTTTGATAAACTTGTTTTAGGCTTTTTCAGAGATGCTGGAAAAAGCCTGATGTCCATGGGTCTTAAACATGTCTTTTCTGGGTAGACCATGTCAGGTGTCACAATAGCACAATCTAGTTTTTCTCTTAATTATTTTATTTAAACTTTTGACCTAAACAGTTCATTTATGAAATGCACACATTTATTTGTGTAATATCTTCTGACTGAGTTTCTAAGAGACAAAAATAGAATGTTAGTCTCAGTTCTGATACTGACTCTTGGAAAAGTCACATTTTTTTTCTATTTGTATATTTGTAACACTTATCTGGTTAATTTATCAGGATGTTATGTGGATTATTTAACAGAATATACTTTCTGGCCGTAAATTGCAGTTTATAAACCTTCAAAAAGGTTTTTGTTATTGTTGTTTGTTTCTGTATTGCAGAAAAATCTGTTAGAGATTGAAAAGAAACTGGAAGATATAAAACCTGTATCTGAGACTAAAAGCAAAGGGAAAAAAATACTGATTCAAGATATAGAGGATTCAGAAGGTGGTGAAGAAAGAGGGGAAGATATAAAAGAGTATGAAAGAAGCAGAGGAGAGAAAAGTAATGTCATATAATTTTCTATTCAGTTTTAACCTGAGAAAGAATCATTGCCTTTGATACTACAAGCTTCATTCACACAATTCATATTTGCCTGTAAAATATATTGCCCATTTGAAGACTAAAATTACATTCTGTACTTAACGATAGATCTTCTCTAAGTGTGAAATCTAGAATCCAGTTGTATTACACATGCCTTTGGAATTGTAAGAAGAGTGCAAGTCAGAGGCAGATGGCAAATGCTCCTAAAAATCACCTACTTCCTTATGTCCTCTATCACTTCACACCTTTCCTTTAATGTGGGTCCAGGCAGTTATTTCTTCTGGTGTTAAAGAACTTGTTGGGCGTCTTAGCTACTTCCGACATACAGCTCTTCTGCCTTTCCACCATCACATTTTCCTTCTGCGTTTTTTCCTTCTTCTCTATGTCTATATGTAGTCTCCATCTTCTATGTATCTGAAAGCAAAAGCAATTGAAATCCTTTTTGGGCAATAGAAACTGAAAAATGCTTACATCCTGGAGAATATAAATACTAATACTGAGGACGCTAAAAAACTGAAAATCATGTGCCTGTGTGAAAAAGCACCTGACGTTGTGATATGTTCATAAGAAGTTATAATCTCAAAATATAAATATGGTTTCCTTTGATCTTAAATATCATATTTTACATAGCCCTTTGAATTCATTAAATTTTGCTGAATTTTGTATGATTTTTTTCTTAATCTAGTAGAACAATTTAAAAAATATAGTAAACAGTTCTGAAATGCAGCAAATATTTATTTGTAAAAAGAAGGGCGCGTTTAAACAATATCCAGGTTAGCTTTAAAATTATTTTCTTTCGACCTGTTACTGCTAAAGATCTCCTTTATTAAAGATGTGCTTCAGGCACATAGAAGAAATCTCATGACAGACAAATCTGCATTTTGCTAGTTTACCGTGGCAAGAGATGTTGCCTGTAATTTTTGTGAATGGTTTATTTATTGAGCTTTAGAGGTCAAGAGACTATTCTTCTTCTGGATGAGACCTCTTTCTCAAGTCAGGATTGTTATCTTTGATTTTTGTGTGTGTTCTGCTATTTTGTGGGCTTTGCGATTGCCGGTTTGGCACTTAACACTTCATATTGAAGCTTCAATGCATTTATTTTTCTTGTGTGTTAAATCGCTCTTCTGGCTTCTAGCTTGGCTTTATATATGTTATTAAATGTACTTGATGGCACGGTAGTTCCTTTGCCACTGTATCCCTGAATAATAACTGTGAATCCTTGAATAATAATGGAACTGTGTCCATTCCTGTTACGGTTAGAAGCATTACTGATGAGGCCTTGTAGGAGGTTGTTTGGCCACCTGGTTATGCATTATACTAGTTATTCTGTATTCCCTAACCCTCTTCCCAGTGTACTTGTTCCTTTGTTATTTTGGGGTTTTAGAACTGTATACTCTATATACTCCCTGAGGAAGGAACTGTCATTTATAATTGATTTGTATAGGGTCTATAGCACAATGAAGCCCAACCTACTGTGGCTTTTAGGTTGTATTGCAAGCTAGCAGTATGCAAAATTAGATTATGTTAAAATAAACAGCATTGAAAATCGGCTCTAGAATTGCACGTGTAATGAATTTCCTGAACCCTCAATTACAGTGTCAGTATAGATGTGGACCAGTAATTCTTTTCATGCCTTATGAGGAAAGACTTCAGTCTTCTCCCTTCCTGTTGCACTCACAGCCCAAATTGTCATTTAATCTTAGCTTTACTGCTCCTAAGCAATGAGAATTATTTGAGAATTCTGTCTGTTATATGTTCTAGCTTACAACAATTGATATCTGCTAAAACAAGAACAAGTAATAAAAAACAGATATTTACTGGCACTGTGTGGCACAAAAACAAAATGTTGTTAAAAATATTAAAAATTCGTCTGTGGAGATTTGGACAGTTCCAGTTGCCTTCAAATATAGCTAGTCCAGAGCTGATAAGGGAATATAAAGCTGTTACCTGGCTTCATAGGTGAATGGATTGTGAACTGAAGTAAGGTATTTTGCTTTTCATTCTGTCACCATTATTTTTGTGCCATGCTTCTGGAGGATAAATACATTGTGTAGCTGGAAAATAATTTTAAATGAAAGATGATGTCATCCATTACAAAAAAATCTTTGTAGTATACCTTTTGGAGTATTTGATTTAGGACAGCCCTTCCATTTTAAGTTGGTTCTTTTTAATATTAACATAAATTAAAATTCTGTCTAGTTTGTATTTGTTGCCATTTCAGTCAAAATGCTATCCATACTTTTCTGTATCTTTCCTTAACTTTTCTTTTCAATTTACAATGTATGTAGGCAATTTCTTTCTTTAAGAAAAGTTTATTAGCATCCCTTCTTTCTAAGGCAAAGTGCAGACTACTGCTTTTATGAACATATTTCCTTGTTGAGACCAGCGCAGAAGTATTGTTTATGTTATAAACACTGAAACTGAAAGATTGTGCGAATTGGATTTGAGAAATATATATGCATATCTCTGTCTATCTGTATATGCACCGTTTTGTGTGTGGTGTTTGCTCAGTCCAGAAGTGTTTAGGGGACGTTGCATAACCTGACAACTAAACAAGATCATTTTGCATATTCTTTGTTTTCAGGGGGACTCCACATTTCATAAACCTTTTCTGTCTATGCCAGGATCGGTTCTGCACGCTTCATCTTCAGGAAATTTTCTTGTGTAATAAGGAAAGACAATTCACATTAACTGTCTGCTTTTCTTGCTTTTGCCTTGTCTCTGGCAGTTGGCATGCCTGCCCAGAGTGTTTCTTTATAGAATTTCGTACAAGAAACTTGCCCAGTGACTGTTTTGTCTGCGACATTTAAAACTTTTTTTCCCCCCTTTTTCTTACTAGAAGGTATATAGAGTTTCTCTGTTTGGGTGAATGTGAAATAAAACTATTCTAGCTTGTATCCCAAGGAAATGATTATTATAGTACTGCTGTCTTTGCTCAGCAGTCCATCTAGCCTTTTATCATCATCCTTCCTACTTAACAGACTTTGAACCTTCTGGCATATTTGGCGTTTTCAAATCTGGTGGATGAAAGTTTCAAATATAAATAGCTTACTTTAAGTTTCATTAAAATAGGTTTTGCGTAGAATATATTTATCCTACCATTATTCCCTCTGTGGAAAAAGTGGGGAAAACTTCCTAAACTTATTAAAAAAACAGATCTTTCCAAAGAGAGAGACTACAGGCAGGAAGGATTCTGTTGGAGCGGTCATTTCTTAGGCACTAGAGAATCTGCCTCTGAAACTCTGAAGTAGTTCTGCTGCGTGTGATGCTAATTATTTTTAATCCTCTTACACTTTTCCATCCTGTCTGGTTTGACTTCAGTAAATGTTGTGCATTTAAAAAATAATTTTTGTAAGTCAGGAGCAACCTGGAGTTCATTGATTTTCCATCAGTTTCAAAATTTTAGTTGGAGTGAATGGGAATCATTGCTGTAATAGATGAGGGAATGAAAAAATACTGTTCAACAGCACAGTAGCTCTCCTTAAGGGAAGATGAAAACACAGCATCGTGATTAATAGTACCAAAACACAAAACTGGTTATTTATAGAGTTGCCTTTGCTTGACTGATAATTTCAAGAGTCGATACTTGAATGTAGTTTTCAGTAGTTGTCAGTTGAAATCTACATTTGAATACTGTGGTGGTAATCTGTTCAGCTAACTAAGGCATTTATTTATGTTAATACCTGACGCATTTATTGTATGCATTTTCCCCTAATTAAATTAATAATAAATAGTAGTGAAAATTATATTATCTAAACTTTATAAACTTTTTTTCCCCCTTTTTCTTACTAGAAGGTATATAGAGTTTCTCTGTTTGGGTGAATGTAAAATAAAACTATTCTAGCTTGTACCCCAAGGAAATGAGGCCTTTTGCATTATGTTTATTTGAAAGCTTTTTGAGAATCATTTATGAGCTCTTATGCCTCCTCCTCTAAGTTATATTTGAGGAGGGTTCTAAAGTGTGTAATGTTACTGTTTTGTTAGTTATGTGCTCTACTTTTAACATGCAAGAATTTTGATTTGCTCTTGGAAAATCAAAGTATCAGTATTTTAATGTTCAGTTTTTAAAGAGTTAAATTTGAAGGTAAATTCTGTACCATTCTGACACTAGAGAACGGGGGCTTAGAAAGCACTCAGCAAGGAGAAATGAGGTCTCACCAGAACACATTCTCAGTAATATTTAGATTGCTAGCAACTAGGAATTGTTCGGTGTTTTTGTGTTTTCTGAGGCAAATAAATCTTTATAAAATGAAGATTCCTTAGGTAGTCTGTGCTCCTTGGAAGTACACCCCTCTTTTTCAATGACAGTAGTTCCTTCTGATGATGCAAGCTCTAACTCTGCTGATTAACTTCCTTGTAGAAACTGGTGTGCCAGTAATAGGAGAGGCAGCTACTGAGAAGGCTGAAATGGGGAATGCACAGAAAAAGTTTCCTACCAAAGGAGGTGGCATTAGGTCAGAAGACAGAGAGACACAGAAGCAGAAGGAATACACTGATGGTGGAGGAAAAAAAGGCACATCAGAGAAAAAAGCACAAAAGCACTTATCCGACCATGAAGGTGAAGTTAATGGCTTTTTAAACCATGATCAAAAGGGTGAAAGCCATGAAGCTGAGAAGATCTCCAGATCGCATGGAACAGGGTCTCTGTCTGCTGATGGTGGCAGTTCTTTGCTTCCTCCTATTGCAGCAAAACTGAAAAGTGAAGGAAATGAGTTATTTAAGAGTGGACAGTTTGGAGAAGCTGTGCTCAAATACTCAGCAGCAATTGAATATGTCATGGGTTTAGGTGAGTGTGATGCCTTGTCCTTAAATCTAGGATTGTTGTTTAGATTACTTAAAGGAACTACAGAAGAACTAACCTAGCATCTCTCTCGATTTTTGGCATGAGCTACAATGCAGTAAATTCTTTGTGATGGACGACAGGGAGCAATGCACGTAATACAAATATAGGAAAATGAGTGAAATGATCTTTTAACTTTCTTGGGGCAGAGATGTTTGCATTTATTTATGTGTTTGAATAGTTGCTTATTCTAGGTGAGATGATAAATAAAAGCTCCTTGCAGTTTTGCATCATCAGCAAAGTGCATCACTGCAGTGCAGCTCAGAGTATATAAGTCTTTAATTCTTGAATGTAATTTTAGTAATGGTCGTTGATTGTAACTGTATGTTCTTTTAGGAGAACAAAATCCAGGTGATATAAGTATCTTATACTCAAACAGAGCAGCGTGTTACCTCAAAGAAGGGAACTGCAGTGACTGTATTCAGGATTGTAACAGGTAAATTGCAACCTCCCATGTAGGGCAACAACATTCCTGATGATGATTAAACATTTTAATTTATATCTTGGCTTATAACAATCTTTAATAAAAGCTGATTTCCTGTCTAAATGACAGGTATCTTTATTTGTCAGTTGTATAAACAATCACATGGAACCTAGGGAAGGAGTAACTTTTAGCTTGTCTTACCGTGTAAAAGCAGTTGTTAATCTTGATGTGTACACAGAAACGCATAGCAGGCTTAAAATTTTTAATAGAAAAGGAGGTTTATTTCAGTAATGCTCTATATTTATTTATATGTAAAACTTTGTAAACCCAAAGGCTTATAACAGTGCTGGAAACTGCTTCTTAGCATGTATATGGTGAGTATGTGTGTGTGCTGTGTTTTTCTTACATACATTCAGCATAATTACAAACTGTGATCACAGCTGTTCAGGAATTGAGCTAAAATCCTTTCTGTTTGTTGTGACTTTTAAAGAAACGGGAGTGAGAGAAGGTCAGACACCTTCAATACTTTCCAAACACTGCCTTCCACTAAAGTACTACAGTATTTCTAGATGTCCTTTGTTATGTTTCCTTAGATAGGGTTAGTGTTACTGGCATTTAAAGGGCAAAATAGGATCCCATGATTGATTAATTAATCAAAATTTTTCGTAGCACAAGGTAGCTATAAAAATACTTAAATATAAAATACATATATAACTTTGTATTAATGAAATGGTTAATTTACTGTATATATTCTGCCTGGTAGCAGAATATATATTTTCCTGAAATGAATTTCCTGAAAATGTCATCTGAAAAAAAATTGACTTGTTGACAATATTTTGTTAAACTTTTGTTAAGTAGTTGCAAGATCATAGAGAGCTGACTGACAGAACAAAATTGCATACTTAGCAGCCATCACATTTTTTTATTCAGGTTGGTTTTAGTATGAAAGACATAATTGAAATCAGTAATCCAAAAATTTGGGGTTTTCTATTCTTACTAATTAGAAGCTCATTTTCTTATTACTTTATGATACTGTCCTTGATGTTGTGCATATTTTCTGGATACACAAGGACCCATGATGCTTAGTGAGCATAACAGGGAGGAATTTAGAGCCTGGGAAGCAGGACTGCAAAACTGCAGACACACACAGATTAGGTAGTGTGAACTAAATATATTGAAGGCAACACAACATAAGTAGGGATATTCTAAGAATGGGTTACTTGATTTTTTCAAAGCCAAAAGTGGTGTTTTACTGCTTATATTCTTGATATAGAAATACATTTTGAACATTTATCTTTTATTATGTCGTAGCTATTTATCGCTTAGAAACGTATCAAAACCCCTGCTGGATTTCTTTTCTTCTAACGACTCTTGCTTGGAGTACCTTTCTTGCTATAGAGAGTGAAATAGGGCTCCTATATAGTAACCTTATTTTCTCTTATTTAGTGCTGTGATGTGGCATGCTCTGTGGCTGTATAATGTTTGAGTGCTTCCCTAGAAATGTGATTTTTCCATTCCCACTGATTTTATTATTCAGTCCTTGTGTTCTTCTGCTGCATTTAGCTGTGGTTGGGTTTTTGCTTCATTCTGGATGTTCTGTTATGTTAATTCTCTTCCGAGTTACAGAATGTCAAGTATTTTTGCTTGAGGGGAGGTGATTATCCCCCTGTACTCAGCACTCATTAGACAACATCCACAGTACTGTGTCAGTTTTCAGCCACCAGTACAAAAACGATACTGATTGACTGGAGCAAGTTCAGCGGAGTGTTGGCTGAGATGGTTGGGGCTAGAGCACTTGTCTCGTGAGGAGAGGCTGAGAGATCTAGGCTGTTTGGCCTAGAAGAGAGATGGCTTTGGAGGGACCTAACTGCAGCCTGTCAGGACCTATGAGGAGGTTATCGTGCATCTCCTTACTGGGAGGACAAGAGACCACAGACATAGGGGTTCTGACTGTGTATTAGGAAAAACCTTTTTCCCATAAGGACAGTCATGCTTTGCAACAGGTTGTGCAGAGAGGTTGCACAGTCTCCTTCCTCAGAGGTTTTCAAGACCCGACTGGATAAAGCCCTGAGCACCTGGTCAGACCTCAGAGCTGACTGACCCTGCTTTGAGCAAGAAGGGGTTGGACTAGAGACTCCCAACCTCAATTACTCATGGTTCTATGAAATCTAGTCCCCTAGGCTCATCTCAATTTCAGTATTGATCTTTTTGTCCCATTAGCAAGAATTATTGATTAATAAAAGGTAGTCTTTAATAAATAATGCCTTTGTAGGCTGTTGCTTCATATTACTGGAGAAGCCTGTGGTATTTGGAAGAAGTTCTGATTACACTGTGTCAGGGATTGAGCTTGCTGTTGACGAGACACACAATCGAAAGAGGAAACAACTGAAGCCAAAAGACAGGCAAAAATCTAAAAGCCAAAAATAGGCAGGGGTATATTAATGTTTTTTGTAAAAAATGCATTTTTGTATGTGCATACAAAACTTGCACAAGTGTATGCACATACTTGCACAACTGTGCAAGTATGTGCATACATACTTCTACGTGAGGAAGAAGAACCAAAAATCGTGTATGCAAAAAGCAGCATGTACTTGAGGTCCCTATAGATCAAAGCATGACTTAAGAAAAATAGCTTTTCCCTTTAAACAGCTATCATTGCTTCAGTCTTTTCTTGAAGAAAACAGTTTTCCAGATGAAGAGTATGAATTTGAGTAGAGAAGGTTGTAATAAATGCACTAACACTTTCATAACCGCATCTCATTTGGAGCACTGAGCAAGTAATAAACCACTCAATCCCTGTTCTCCTGGGTTCTGTTACTATAAGGCCATCTGAAATCACAGATGTTATATATAGTTATATATATAATAAAAATTCAGTATTGTTAGTATTATTATTGTATCTTTTTCAATGCTGCCTTTTTCCTTTTATTTTCTACAGAGCTCTCGAACTTCAGCCATTTTCTCTTAAGCCTCTTCTACGACGAGCAATGGCATATGAGTCTATGGAGCGGTACAGGCAGGCATATATCGATTATAAAACAGTTCTACAAATAGACAGCAGCATCCACGCAGCAAGTGATAGTGTTAATAGGTAACTGCACTTTATAAATTTTCTGCTCATATGGGGCTCTGAACAGAAAAGTAGAATTCAATTTTGTTTGTTTTGTTTCTTCCCTCCTTTGTATGTCCCTCGAGAGGCAGGGTCATCACAACTAGAGGACCTAGTAGCTTTTATTTAGTAGCTTTCCTGTAGCTTCACAGCTTTCCATGCTGAAAGTATTCCCTGAAGTCACAAAATTGGACCATAATAAGGAATATTTTTCCTTTACTGTTGAGGAACTGTTTGAAAAAAAGTGGCTTGACTATCTTAATTGTTTAACAGCCGTGAAGTACAACTTTTTCCTGTAACCTCCTTTACTGCTGTATTGTTTTTTTCTTTTCCATGCATGTCTTTTTCTTGGCTTTCTTTGGTTTTAGCATGTGTGCAATAGCAGAATGGAGCTTGTAGTTTTCTGGTTCGTTGGATGGCAGTAGTTTTGTAATCAGCATATAGATCATTATGTTTGTAAGTTTTCTGCATTTCCACCTGCAAAGAGATCTTAACTAGGATGTGTTCCCTATTGCTAACACCTGGGAAATATTCCCAAGGTGTAATATCATTACAATCTTCTCTATCCCTAAGTGTCCACTGCTGGAAACCCTGAGGTGAGAAATGGTCTATATGGGTCCCCATCCTAATGCAGTCTAGCCACTCTTCTTTTTTTGTGACTAAAATTACCTGAATGCCATTAGTCCTGCACCAGCATCTCCATTTGTTGTCCCTGTACGTTAGAATTAAGGGATCGTACACATCACATATAGTAGTGATTGCATATAAAATTTAAATGTTTGGTAGACTTTTTAAAAGTCTATCCCTTACTGTTGTTTCAGCTTTCTGCAATTTCCTTAATACTATTCCCATAATGTCATCCACATGCCAGTTTTATAAAAAGCTTTTGCCTTTTAGGGCTCAATATTTTTACCTTGTAAATAAGAGCAAGCTGAGCAGAACATATTTCTGTCCCTTTTCAGTATTCACCTTATACTTGTGCAGTTCTCCAACTAACCTCAGTTAGAAATAACTGTGTTACATGATAGAACAAAATAGGAGGTGAACATTTCACTGGATCTTCGATAATGTTTCCTCTTAATTTTATACAAATGACTATATGCATGTATTGGACTAAAAAAAAAAAAAATCGTCCTGACTTGAATACATTATTTTGGGTGATATGGGCAGAAATTTCTCTTACTCTCTAGTGTTGTACCAAATGTTACTTTTGAAGGCTGCAGTGGTCATCCATTTAACAGTGTTTTAGACTCAAGACATCTTACAGAAGACTAAGATTCACTTTAGGGTGTGACAGTGTTAAATGGATAATCACTGCAGCCTTCTGAATGTGGTTGTGCTTTACTTAGTGTAACCTTTTTGTAAGATTAAAGTCGTATTTATTTATATGTGTGTGTGTGTGTGTGTGTGTGTGTATACATATATGTATACATACACACACACCGTGTTTGTTACGGGAGTTACTTGGAATTATAATTATATGCATCATTGCAAGGTTTTTAGGTCAGTTTGTTTTTAAAATTTCATTTTTTAAAGGCTTTTTTTACTGGGGTTTCAACTTGTTTTCTTTCCTAACTTATATTTCATGCAATCTAAAGTAATATTTTAACATCCATACCTTTTTTCTTTCATTTCTGTTTTCTTTTCGTACTAGCATAGTCAATGTGGCAATTTAAGATATGGGTCAAGCGTGAATCCTTCAACACACTGCAGTTGTGAAAACACTGAAGCTTGATAGAATGGTTGGCTACAAAGCTTAGTGGTGTAGAAAGCAAAATGAAATCAAATATTATTTTTAACTTCCCTTTTAATACTTCCAACACTAACTCTTGCTGCCAAGTGAGGTGCCTCAATTTCTGTGATTATATTAATAAATTATGTATAAGATATATATCATATATACTATAAAATAATATAATACAATAATATACTATTTGTTATATAGTATGTATTGTATATAATACAAATTGCATATAACGTTAAGCATGTAAAATTGTATGATATTTATATTTTCATTAACATAAAGTAAGGACTTAAGTGCATGAATGGCAGGATTTTCCCTTTCTTTTCTTTCCATTTTTTTTATTTTAAACAAAGCGTTTATGATAGCAGAACAAACGTTAGTCTTTGAGCAGGAACCCACATTCATGCAGCTTTTAACAATGGAACCTAGTATGTCTTATTTGACAGAAGGGCATGCATGCTGACATAATTCCTTATATTTCCTTGAGAAGGCCATCGTATCTTTAAATTCTAGTTACTTGGCCAGAGTTTGCCAAAAGAGATCATGACACTCTAAGAAGACTTTATTTTTGATCACGCAACAAGTATTTTTCTGAAGTCCTGTATCTGCATCGATGATAGAGCACTTGGGTTGATGAGATAACTGCTTCTCTGGTGTCTGTGTGAATTATTAAACTTTTTTGATCTTCTTGCCTTATTTTATCCACTGCTATTTTTTTCATATTTCTCCTGACAGTGACTTGTAACATGCTTAGTGATGAGCTTACTTCCTTTTTTTTTCCTTAACTTTCTTCCTTTTCTCCTCTCTAGGCCTTCCTTATGTTTTTAGCTTCACTGCTCATTGCTCTTTCCTCCCTGGCAACCCATCACCTTATTTCAGCTGCTCCTTCCTTCTTCTCCTCTGCTGGTAATTCATTTTTGCTTGCAAATTCTTAGTTTCTAGAGCATAGACTTCCTGCATGATTGAACTTTTAATATAATTCATTTTTTAATTCGAACTGAAATTGTTGACCAAAATACTAATTTTCATTGTGAAAATAATGCATCTTTGAAAAACGTATTCTAACAAAACATGAGGGCTATTCTGAGTGTACTGCCTTTTAACTTAACGGGACAACCCGAAAATGTATTTTAAAAATACCTACGTGAGGAATAATAGGTCTTAGCAACCTGTTCTTATTGGAGGATTTGTCTGTATGTTTTTAAGTTCCTGAGGGAAACTGGATTGTGATGCTGTAGGAAGCTGACAGAAAAAGTCCTCGTCCTGTTTTTATCTGAGGGTGGCTTTGATGACTCTTATTAACGCTTGTCTACAAATACTCACCTTCCCAAAAATCTTAGTATCAGAGGGCAGGTTAAGTGCAGTATTCCTAATAATTCTCATATAAAAGCAGAGTAAAAGCCTTCACCTGATCATTTTAAATCCAAAAGGAAATAAGTAAGGGTGTAAGTACATATTTTTATGAAAAGTCAACAAAACAAAATTAAAGTTATTGGAGAGCTTGCTGTGTTGGTTAGAAGATGTTGAATTGCATCTTTTATTGGTTTTCTGAGATGATTGACAGATATGTTGGAAGGTGTGTTGTTGTATGGAAGGTAGATCGACAGATATGTTTCTTTGAATAGTGTGGGCCAGATCACAGGAAAATGCCTTCAAGCATGCTTTTATCTAGTGATGTTTTACTAGCTCTGTGAATATGAATTGATTTCTAATTTTATGTTTTTTAATCTTCTCTTGAGTGATTGTTCTACTCTACTGATGGGCAATGTGTTTATGCACTTCCATTTATTAAATTGAATTTTCATTCTCATTGTCTCAACTCCTTTAATATCAGTTAATACATTGCATTAGACGACTTGGGAGCTCTTATTACAAAGCCCCATCTGAGTATTGTACTGTACAAACTATGTCCCTGTGATAAATTCCAAAACTGCAAGGGGATAGTTGGATCGAGTTAAGGTGATAGTGGTGGAGAATGACTGTATTTGCCCTGGATTTTTCATGAGATATCTATACTTTTTTAAATTAACCATGGCATTCAGGAAGGCATTTTTGCCAAAGACTGTTCTAAGAAGAGCTTGTTATATTACAAGAAATCAGTCGATCATCAAAGCCTGGATGATTCTTTTGTTGGTTTTGATGAATTGGGCCAGGCTTTTTGTGCAACCTTGAGTGCCTTTTGTGATAAATAGAGAAGAGCTGGATAGGAAGGAAACAAGACTCTGGTTTATGCTAGAGTTATTCCGTTACTTTCTGTGAGAAATACCTAAACAGGATTAATTGACTTTTCTTTTTTACATGAAGTGTACAGTTTTGTTTCCTAATAACATAAACTCAGTAAATCTTAGGGCTGTTTCATTTTTGATGGACTGCCCCCTTTTTCTTAACAATTAAATTCAGATTGTCATTTCAAAAAAAAAAAGTTTTAGTAAAATCAGAGTAAAACAGAACTCGCACAGGCTTCTTTGGTGGTGACTTTTGTAATATTGCTTATTAATGATCCAGGTAGAGGAGAGCCCTGGAAGGGAGGGCATGTACAGCCGATATGCAGAAAAACGTTATTTAGAGAAGAAATTAAGCAACTAGGTAGTACCATGAAATGAGATATTCTGAGTACAAAGAACTTATTTAAAATTCTAGGATAGAGGAAAAGGTATGTTTCACACAGCTCATATAATAATTTATTATACAGCTCCGCAAAGAGTCTTTTTAATGTGTATCATTCTTTAAAACATTTTGGTAACTTGTATTTTACAATAAAGTATATTAAAACAGTTGCAACTTCTTGTATCGGTTGTTCTGTCAGACATGAAGTAGATAATGAGAAAATAATTTGATCCTGATTACTCTTACTCTGTAGCCATAGTATAGAGGAGGGTTTTTTGTAGACCTTATTCAAATATTTGAATAAAGCAAAACCAAGGAAGAAAATTTAGTCTGAATTATTTCCTCTCATTTTATCTTGTTCTTTACATCACACGTGCATTAAATGGAACTGCACTTAAAATGCAGATTTCAGGTTTATTAGATAACGTATGAACATAACCCATTTTACGACTCAATTCAAAGTTTTCCTTTGTTAAAGTAGATTGCAAATTTATCACCAGTTGAGCTTGGCACTTAAGCTGTTTTTGAGATTGGAAGACTTTTCTGTCACTCATTCTCCTTATTGATTAATATTTGCGTTTTTTAAAAACACGCTACAAGAAAAGTAACTGAACAGTTTGTATAGTTTTACTCATTATATTCATTTAGGTCTTGCTCCGAAACATATCACAGCAGTGAGAAACTTCCACGTTAATGGATTTTGGATTTAACCTCTCTTGTGTGGAAATAGTTGACCTGTAATGTATGGGTATAAGAAAGGCTCTGAGCAGTTTTAAATATGTTTTTTTTTTCTCATTATTTATATGGAGATGACAAATGATTGATGAAAGAATTTCCGACTGTGCTCTAAAATGCAATTTAATGCATACTTTTTAACCTGCAATGGTTATCTAAAAAATAGCTGTATGTAAGAAGTACCACGTGACATTGGCAGCTTCAGGTACCACACTTAATGTCTGAAAATATTGTTTCTACTGTTGTTACAAACAGCTCCTATGAATGTCCGAGAAGAGTAAAAAAATACTTTTTTTGCCCCTTTTCTTTATAGCATGTATTAGGTAGCATTTAGAGCTCTGTTGCAAAATCAGTCATCAGCTTAAATACTTTACAGATCATGCTTGTCTTATAAAATCCTAGCATAAATATTCTAATTTAAAAATAGAAAAAATCAGAATCTTAGGTAAATGAAATACTGTTGGCTGCTGTAACTATTTTTTAAATTAGTCTTAAGGGTAATTATTCAGTCATTTTTGGAAAGAAAAAGGCCATTGCATTATTTAATTTAGCTCTAAGTCATTAAAGAATTAAATATATGAGAAGTCATGTTGATGGGGCTTTTCTCTTTCAGAATAACAAAAACTTTAATAGATCAGGATGGTCCTAGTTGGAGGGAGAAGCTGCCACCGATTCCAGTTGTCCCTGTTTCTGCTCAGCTACACAGGTGGGATGCAGGCAACTTTACTTCAGAGACTAAGCCGAGAAGCACTGCAGATGCCAACAGAGAAGAACAATTGCAGATGACTAGTATGTATAGCTTGTGCAAACATATAGATGCAAGAAAAGAATTTTTAATTGAAAAATAGAATATGATTTTTGTTAATGTTGTCAAGAAATTGCTTTAGATAATATTTGTCACAAATCTTTGTGAAAAGCCAAGGTAGATGATGGTCGTTTACGTGGTTTTAACAGGCTTCACGGAGCCAAAATTAGCTTTATTTTTTTAAGCCAAATGACGTAGATAATAGCATGTAATTTCTGCAGTTATGTAATATTAGCAGAAATACTCACCAGCAGTATGTTGAATCCTATCACAAATATCAGTGGTTTCACTCTGACCTCATACGATAGTGTTAACAGTTTAAAAAAAAAAGTCAGTAAAATCAGCTGCATAATCACAGAATCACAGAATCGTTTAGGTTGGAAGGGACCTCTGGAGATCATCTAGTCCAACCTCCCTGCTCAAGCAGGGTCACCTAGAGCACGTTGCCGAGGATCACATCCGGACGGGTTTTGAATATCTCCAGCGAAGGAGACTCCACTACCTCTCTGGGCAACCTGTTCCAATGCTCAGTCACCCTCCCAGTGAAGAAGTTTTTTCTCAGGTTTAGGTGGAACTTCCTGTGGTTCAGTTTGTGCCCGTTGCCTCTTGTCCTGTTGCTGGGCACCACGGAGAAGAGGCTGGCCTCATCCTCTTGACACTCCCCCTTCAGATACTTGTAGACGTTGATGAGATCGCCTCTCAGTCTTCTCTTCTCCAGGCTGAACAGGCCCAGCTCTCGCAGTCTTTCTTCATAGGAGAGGTGTTCCAGCCCTCTAATCATCTTTGTAGCCGTGGGCCATAATCTGTAGCCATCATTTAATTGTTCATGAGAGTATTACTCAGTCCTTGAGAAGAGCAAGTGTAGACTTCAAGATGGCTGGTATTCAATTAAATGGGCTATAGAAGAACATTTCTGATGTTTTTTGTTATGCATTCTAACTCTGGCAGCAGATAGTCGGTAGTTGCTTTTTAACTATGTTAAATCAGGAGCTGTTTACATGTAAGTGCTGGATGCTTTACTCCTTTGGGACATTCTTCTTCCTGGATTTTTCTGTGCATTGGGGTTTCTGTTTTTCAGTAATTCAGATGAGGGAGCCCTTCTAACTCCATTTTTGTTAGCATTAAGCATTTTTCCTGTAAAGGCCTTAACTCTTGTTATAGTTTACTGCCTGTCTTTACTGTTAATTGGCTCACTTTTAAGTTGATTTTAATAGAAAGAAAATTGGGCAGAAGATAAGCTCCTCCTGTTTAACACGAGGGAGGCAGCAATGCATAACTGGGTTATTGGCCAAATATATAGCAGTCATAGGATTATCTATCTATAATCCATCACTGCAGCAATCTGCATTCTTGCACACTACAGATTTAATGGTTTTAATGCTGTCTGAAAGATCATCTTTAAATTCATCTGTACCTTATGTAAAACAACAGACAGCTTACAAATACGTGCCTTCATGTGAGATTTGAACATGTCTCTCAGGAGGAAGATGTGGCTCTAGAAGCTTACGATAGTGTGGTTTATATAAGATCTGAATGATGGTGCATATTGAAATACAGCAATGCTACAGGAAACTATTTTTCATTTAAGGCACCTGAGGGGGGTGTAGGTGTCTAATTTAAGCTCAATTGACAAAAATTTTACCCTGCTTTTTAAAATGGCCAGGGACTTAAGTATTTTCATTAAAGTTGTTGTAAGTACATATCTTTAGTAATTTATCACTCTTAAGGACTGGACAATAAATGGGTTTACTATTTATGTTTGGAATAGAGTAGAAAGTTGATATTTTCCATTAATGGGTTGCTATTAAACATAAATGCTTAGCTTGAACACTACTTTTTGTTGTAGTGTTTGTAGTCCTAGCTTTTTCCATGAACGAGGGATATAACTTGTTATTTATTTCAGTGTATAACCAAACTGTTTAATCTAAACCTTTTAAGTAGTGAAGATTAAACTTGCATCTGTATAACCTTTTAGTAACTTTACCAAGAGACAGAACTTGAAGATCACGGTAGGGAAGAGTACAAAGGTAGACGGTTCCCTCAGAACAGTAGTGATGACATCTCACCTTGTTTTGAAACTTAATGAGATTAGCCATTGTTTTCTGCATCAAGTGTGTTCTGTAATATTTTGAAACAAAACACTTATGTCTCAACTATTTCAAATGGATTGAGCTTAGTTTAGGTTTTATTTTTATAAATATTACGTGGAAACTGTGTAACCGTTTCCTTCACCGAAGGTTGACTCTTAAGTATATAGTTGCCTTTCAGGGACTGTACTAAATCGGTGAGACCCACAGTCAGTAATAGCTGGCACTGGAAGCATGCCAGCAGTAACGCTTGGTCATTATTGAAACCTTATGGCTGGCTGACACTCTTCTGCAACTATTGTGTGTATTGGTTTTTGTGTCTGAGGACTTGAGTTTAAATTCAGTTATGTTTCCTGTATAAGTCTGCTCTGGTTTCAAATTGTTACTTTTTTCCTAAACCAGTTTTCTGGCATAGAAGAGTGCCACCTTTTTACAAAAGAGCTCACTGAGGTTAATGATCAGTTAAAATGATCTTTTTATCTACGATCTTTAAAACCTGACGCTTCACAGAGGTGTCATACTCTTTCTTTAGAAAAGTATAAGAAGTCAGTTTTTCCATTATGATTTACTTAGAGCTGTGTTACTAATTATTCTTTACTTACAACAGAGACATGAAACTGCATTCAGGATTGGTTTTCCATTGCAAACGTAGTTAAAAATTGTAATCTAACTTGGAACCAGATGCAACGAGTGATGTGGAGTTTAGAAGGAAAGACAATTGTGGAAAAACACAGTATTAATCAGAAAGTATATATTTATAGTTAGCTATTTTCAGATCACTCAAAGCATCCTTTTTCATAAACGATATTAACAGAATATTATCACTGTTATCACTCACCCCTGTTGATGATTTGCTTGCATTGTCCGTTCAGCATAGTAATTGTGATGGATGATTTGCTTGCAGAAAGAATATTAGATTAAATTATAGCCTTCCTAGTGTGATGGTGATAGTCTAGAAGACCTTCAGTCTTATTGATAGATCTGCACCATTGTCAATAAAATCGGTATCTCGGCAGAGATATGTTGTCCCTCTGTACCGCACAAAAACTCTTCTGTGAATAAGAAGAGCTGGAAGTGTCGACCTGCCTATTGCATTCCCAGTATTTCAGCAAAATAGTTACCCTCGTGCATCAGAAAGTATGTGTCATGCCAAATGCATATATGGTAGTTTATTCCTTCTGTAGAGCAGTAGCAAGGTCTGAAACAGAAATTGTAATGCCCAGACTGATAAAAGATATGCCAGATACTGGGCACTTGTTCTTAGTCTGGATAGATTATTGAGATACCCTTAATGAACTGACCTTCTTAAATAATGTTGTAATTTTTTTTGTAACACAGGTGAAAAAGATGAGGAGAAGTTCAAGACATTAAAAAATGAAGGGAATGATTTTGTAAAGAAAGGTAAATACGAAGAGGCTGTAAATAAATACAGTGAGTGCATGAAGTTAAATACCAAGGAGTGTACTGTCTACACTAACAGGTAAAGACCTGAAATCCAACCCCATTTTGTGGGATAACAGTACTTGTTATATTTTCTAACTGCAAGTAGAAATTTTTTATCACTTTAGTCACTATTATACAAAGATTATTTTTTCCGTTTGATCAGTGTTTCCAACAGCATAATTGATTTTTCTTTAAACCACATTATTTTTGAAGGGGAACAGATATTAATGTCAATGAAATATGTTCTCAAATCTTTATATAAATAGAACAGACTAGAATAAGAGTTATAATTAGCATAGCATTTTGCAGCATTTTTCAAGAATGCCAGTAAAATTTTAATTAAAAGCTAATGTGCAGTAGCAGTATCTCAAATATGAAAAATATTATTTCAGAGAAAAGGTACCTTTGGAGAACACAGAAGTAGGAACAATCATACAGCAATATTATTTCTAAAGGGTGGCCTAATCCTGTAGCATAATTCTTTCTGCTGTAATCCTTTCAGCTTTCACAAACTAAGAAGGATTTGATTAGCCTAGTACTTGAATAGGACACTTCCAAGTAATAACAAGGTGCAGAAAATGGTATTGCTTATTCAATTCAGAGCACTTTTTTCCCCAGATGGCTGCATAGAATCAGTATTTCATCACTGTATTATTGGTATTGTGCTAGCATAGGCTCTGCTTTTGAAATATGTACGTATCTGCTTAACTTCAAGCACGCAGGTGAGTCATACTTGAATTTTGGCTTACACTGCAGAAATTGGCGCTCTCTAAATCTATCCAATGATACCATTAATACTCACTGATTTTGATGTACTCTAAAAATACCAGATTGCGGTGGAATTGTGTGAAGTATTGTAATTTGCATTTATGAGTCAGATACTGCTGGCACTACAGTACTCTAAAATTTACTTATATTGCAGTGTATTTTGTTTTTCTGTGTTAGAGCTCTCTGTTACTTGAAACTGTATAAATATGAAGAGGCTAAGCAGGATTGTGATCATGTTCTTCAGATAGAAGATTCTAATATTAAAGCTTTCTATAGAAGAGCACTAGCATACAAAGGATTACAGGTGAGGAAAAAAGAACATGACAGGTATTCTTAAGCACTTCTAAACTTGCTTATCCTCTTCAAAGGCAATCAGGTAGTTACAATGGATGGGTAAATACAAGCAAAGTATGCAGTGTTGATGATTTATTACTTTATGTTTGTAGAGCACTAGACATATATAAAACATCATACAGGTATTTTTGGAACATGAAAGTCACCTGAATATTGACTTGCAATAATTTGAGAAGATGCAGGAATATTGCAATAAATATTGCAATAAGTGAAAGTTTTGACTGGAGTTTGATTAAGCAAGTTTCGACTCTTTTCTAAAGTTCTAATTTCCTTCTAGGTAGCCCAGTCTGTTTTTTTCTGTCAGGGCGTTCACTAGATCTTTGCTGTTGGGTATACTGATCTTCTCCAAGTCTGTCTTCACCTGTCCAAATGAAAATCTCAAGCTGTTTTTTGGCATCAGTTCACACTTGAATGCTTGTCACATTAAGCCAGAGCTTTAATTTTCTTCATCCTCTCCCCCCTCCTTTTCCAAACACAGGCCGAACCTTTATCATTAACTTCCTTTCTCCCTCTCTGGGGGCATCAACATTATCTTTTCGATCAGGCTAAATTGGTGTTCATCTTTCATCCTTGCTGAAGTCTCACATCCAAACCATGTCTAAGTCATGCAGGTTCTCTCTATATGAAATCACTGAGACTCAACATTTCCTTTCCATCTGCATAGAAAAATTGTTGTCTGTCCTGTCCTAATCTTATATCACAGTTTCTTCGGTATGCTTTTATCTGACCTTGATAACACGGTCTTGTATTGCTCATCTCCATCCTGAGTGTGACTGCAAATCTCATGTTCCGTGACTTGAACCGTGTTGTTCCTTTTGTCCATCTCTCTTGGTTTTCCTTCTTCACTGGATGGATGTTAGCTACTTTCTACTCTTTTGTAAGCCTTTCCTAGCAATCCTTACCCTACCTTTCAGCTCTTTCCTGATAACTGAATGATCAGCTTCTCACTTTGCTTGGTTCATGATGGCAGCTTTTGTCACCTACTCTGCATTAGGTTTTCCAACAAGCGTCTTTAAATAAGCATCTTAAGTGCTTTCTCCCAGGTTGTTCTTCAGTCTAGTGGTGATTACTCTAAACGTTTAATCCACCACGTTCCATCAGTATCCTCCTTCAAATGAATACTTACATCAGAGCTCTCCTATGTTTCATGCCATAACAAAAAATTACCTCATTGTCTCTCAGTCTAAAAATTGCTTGAAGACAGCCTGTTTGTGCTTAGCGGTATACTAGCCTATTCTCATCCTGTTTTACGTGCAATTCCAAAAGCAAGTCTTAGCATGAGATCATTTTTAATGATAAAGTTATTCCTTTGTCTGCTGGAGTAGCTAAAAATTTTTTTAAGTTGCCTCTGATGCGTTGTCAGGGAAGGTGAAAAACTTTAATTTTATGTAAAATCATTTTCTGTGGTTAGATCAGGCCACCTGGTATTAATTTTCTGTAGCTTTATGTTATTGGAGTCGATAAAAGTTAGTATAAATAGCAGCAAAACCAGATAGTGATTCCAGCAGTCAAAAAAATGGGAATTACACACTGGTGAAGAATGTCAAGAAACAGAGGAATAGCTGCTTTTTTTGAATATTTCAGGAAAAATATTATTTTAGTTTTACTGAAGATATAACCAGAAATATGCTGTTCATGGATTCCCTCAGGACACTTTCAGCTGGGGACTCCCAAGATGTTTTGTTTTGGTTGGGTTTCACGCCTTCAGTATTGCCACTTCCAGGGATATAAGGGGTTGATAAAACCAGAGAAAGCAACAAAAATGATCTAGGGTTGACAAATCACTCTAATGAAAGATTTTTAAAAGCTAAATACATGTAATTTGGCAAAGATGAAACTAAGCTGGGAAGTGTTATTAGTTTATAAATATGCAAATACTTTTTCATGAACGTCGAAGTGGAATTTAATGTAGTAAGTGACGATGTTTATAGATTTACTGAGATGTATTTAAGGGAAGATCAGGAAAAAACTCTGCTTTTGTGATGGATTAGGGCTGTAATATGGGACGCAGAACTGGAATGGACTTTCTAGAGCTGATAGTCCTGTCCGTTGCTTTGAGTGCAACCACTTTATGATTTCATTAAGAAATGTGGCCAGCTGCAGTTTGAAACTTAAGGGAGCTGCTTGTTTACCAAGCCTCATGATTGCTGTGAGAAGTCTGTTCCAGAACCTCATTTCTCTGTAGTTATGAATCTTCACGTTTGTAGTTCAAATAGTTTAGCTTACGTAGTAGCTCTTTTCTGATGAAAGCAATCTACCCCATTTCTGCATTTGTTTTCTGAGGCTAAATAATTCTAGTTCTCTTACTTCTCTTTTGTGATACAGCAGACTTCAATTCACTTAGAAATTATCATGATGTCTCTGCACCTTGAATACAGTTGACTGGTATTGAACAAAATATTCCAGATAGGGAGAGAGTATGAGTATCTTGTACAGTAGTTATTTTTATTATAGTTGAGATACTGAGGAGAACTCTCAGCTGATATATGAAATGATTGTTTGTGATAAAATTAGTGGCTTACGGTTATCTTGTGATACTGCTTGGGAACAGAACAAATGTTAGATCTCTCACTCAAAGAAATTCGGCGTCTGATGTTAATGGTCTTTTGCTATCTACTGTTACATTTCATCGTTGTTTTTGTCTCCCGTCCTCAGGGTATCTTGCTTTTTCTTTATGATATTCCAGTCTTCCTTGGAGTTGATATTGCTGTCAGCTTTCTCTCTCCATAATATTTAGTCTGAAAATTCATTCATTCATTTTTAATGAATGAATTTCTTTAATAAAACATTAGACAAATCACAAGACTAATTCTTGAGGAACTGTATACTAATTTCCTTCTACCTGACTTATCTGTCTAATCCTCTTGTTGATAGTTTATTAACATCTTAGAGTTCATAATGTAATTCCAGTTTTCTCAAGTACAATTTCCCATGTCAAACTATAAGAGATGGTCTATTGAAGTGAAGCCCAGGAAAGACTAGGTATATTTTTAATTTAAGCTTAATTTAACTCTTGTATTGGCAAAGTCAGCATGCAAAATATAGTTGGATTCACATTATATTAATCTTGAAGGAATGTTACATTGTAAGCAATTAAGCTTAAAAGCAGCAGTCTTCAATAATCTGATAAACGGATGGGTCTTTCAGAGAATAAATTATTTCACTCTCCATACTTCATATGAAAACATTTAGTCGCAAAATACTCATTTAAAATCATCTTCAGTTTCATTTTTTCCTTTAATAAAATTATACTCTCTGTTTTTTGATTATTTTTGCATATTTGATGCCAATAACTAGGCATTCCTATTTTTCTTATTTGTAAAGGACAGTATGGCAGTTCTAATTTATTTTTCTAGCTGTTTATGAAAAACATATCTTCTCTTCTACTCACAGAATTACCAAGCCAGTGTTGATGATCTCAACAAAGTACTTCTAATAGATCCAAACGTTCTTGAAGCAAAAAAGGAACTACAACAGATAACCCAACTGCTTAGCCTTGAGAGCAATGCTGTAGCTAGCAGTCAACAAAAGCAAAGAAAGAAGATAATCATACAAGAGGTATATCTGTTCATTTTTAAAAGCAAGCAGTACAGAAGCTACACATTTGAAAAAAGAACATTAAAGCTTTTGTCTTGCAGTTCTTGCTCTACACTTTTCTGGTCGTATTGTATTTTCATGATCTTTTAAAAGCGTATTGGAGGATTCTTGGATAAGATATGTTTGGTCTCTGTTACATTCTATAGTAAAGCTTGTACTGATTTGAGGAGCATTCTGTACCACAGCAGAAATGAAAGTAGTAGTTTCAGATGGCACTGAAGTTGAGGATATCCCTGCAATCAAAAACTGCTTAGACCTCAAAATACCTGTTTTACAAAATACTGCAATGTCAAATACAGTTTTGCTTTTAGTCTGTGCTATTCAGGAAACCTCTGGGGCTGTGCTGGCAAAGGTTCATTGTCAGCAGACATGCCGCATGTTCTTGTACTAGTAGTCAATGGTCTGAGGCATGAACTCCTCCCTTAAAAGATAAAGAAAGAGTATGGGTAGAATATCTGTAGAATCTTGTAAAAGGAATACGTGATGGCATGTTACAAAGGAGATCAAAATATTAACTGTGCGGAGTTCAGTTTGAATTAGGCGATGAAAGGATTTTCTCAGTCATCTGATATTTTTGGATTGATATTTTGGATCAGCTATGCTGATCCTTTTTAAAGGATCATTTAAATGCATTTAAAATGCATTTTTACCTTTTCTGTTTTATAATAAAATATATAGTTATCAGTCTGTACAGTATTATAGATGTAACTTGGTGATGTAATTTCAAAATGGCACTATAATGGCAACTGCAGTGATTAATACAAAAGCAACTTCTTTTACTGCAACACTTCACAATTGCATGAGTTCTCAGGATATATGTATAGTGTTCCTTAAGCTCTGGGTTGTGACAAACAAAGGGACCTGGAAACTGTTCAGAGGAGGTTTGGGAAGTGACTGCATTGTTGAGGGACCAGCTAACTACCTTACTGGCAGTGGTAATTTTTTCCAGGGGTGAGGCAGGAAACATTTAGGCTTGCTACGATAATTACAGCTGCTCCCTTAGAGAGCCTTCCCTATCTTATCTATTGTAAGACAGGGGAATTGCATGAAAACAGATGGCAAAAAAAAAAAAAACTAAAGTTTAACTAGAAACTCTGATTTATCATTATTACTCAGTTTTAATCAAGCTGTAATTATATATCGGAGAATCAAGAACATCTCCCTCGATGCTAAGGATTATTGAAAAAATGGAGCAGGCTCAGAGCAAAAGGTCTGCAAGCCCAGTACAGTATTTTGCAAAAATGCCTAAGCTGGCTCTTAGCACAGCACTGTACTATGCAATGCACTGTTCTCAGACTTTTGCAAAAACTTGACATCAGTTGGAGAGATCCTATTCAATAAGTTTTAATCAGTTTGTACGAATTCCACAACTCTTGATAGCTTGAAATGGATTTTAGCAAATGTAGTTAAAACCTATGGTAAATTTTAACGGAGTGCTGGGCACTGAAAAGAAATATAAAATACACACTTTTGACTGAAAACCTTTAAAGATGAATGATGGAGGTACCATTTTGGGGGGAAGTGGGTTATATAAGAGAGGAACATAAGTCCACTTATTTTATGAAGAAGAAAGTGCTGACTTTCACTTTTAGTGACTTTTCAACTGATACATGCATGTGTTTTATGAAGCTTCAGAATATCTATAGTCCACATCATTAAAATCGTTTGTTGCCGTTTCCTTTGTGAAGGTGACTGAATTTGATGAGCAGAAGGAGGGACAGTCTGCTACATCAGAAGATGCTGTTTCTGAAGAAGTTCGAACAAGTGCACTGTTGAAGACCGCTGAAAAACTGTCTATTTCAGAACCAACTAATGCTTACGACTTTGGTCAGATTCTAAATACAGTGAATGCCAATAAGGATGAATGTGCTTGTGCAGATCTTTTAACAATTATTGATCCCCCAAAATTGCCAGTGCTGCTAAGTAACAAACTTGAAGGAGAAATCTTCTTGATTTTTATCCAATCATTGGCATGTTATGTACTTGGAAAAGATCCTGGCCTTGTTTATCAGCACCTTTTCTACCTGAGTAAAGCAGAAAGATTTAAGGTAAGAATATAGGTTGGATGCATACTTATATTGAACAGAAACTTAGAGGAATTTTTCACATTACAAAAACACGAAATACTGACTTTGAATCTTTCAAATGCTACAATTTTGTGTCACCTGTGCTGATTATAATTTTTTTTTTTTTTAGGTAGTGCTAGCACTTCTTAGCAAAAATGAAAAAGAACAGGTTCAGCAACTGTTTGACTTGCTTTCAGAAAAACAAAACCATCAGTACTCTTTAGAAGATCTGGAGAGCCTTAAAAAGGTTTATGAACTTTAAGAAGAACTTAAATTAAAATTTATTTATTGCATGCATATAGTTGATGTTAATAAGATGGATGACTGAACTATGCAGACTTGCATGAGATGAAGTGGGTCTTTACCTGGACTGTTTGAATTCTATTTTGTTTGAAAGGTATATGGATATTTAAAACTTGCTGCTCCTTTTTTCTTGTAGTTGTATACATTTTTTAATCTCTAGAATTTTATGCATCTGTTTGTTTTGTGTTCAATAGCAGAGTTCGTATTATTTAACATACTGGTTTTAATTAGATTGCATTACTTATATATATATATATATGTATTTGTGTGTGTGTGTATACGTGTGTGTGTGTGTGTGAATATATATACACACACAAAATGCAAAATATATTGATGATATGAACCATAACACACTTTTAGTCATCATTTATTATGTCATTTTATGGATTGTATGTTCTTGTGGTAAAGAAGCGTCCTTTAGATAAATGAGTCAGCTAGCAATAGCGTTGCTAAAATGAGTTTACAGAAAGTATTAACATTTTCCAGCTAAATTACTACATGCCGTCTTTGTTTTCACTGTCCCTGGTCCATACAAAACAGATTTAAATATTTTTGGTGCAACACAGCTTAGCAGCAAAGATGACCTTGTCATGGAACGCTTTGAATGAAAGTAATTAATTATTAAATAGGTCATTACATTTTTAAAATGATGAACAAGTGAGCAATTTTTAGTGTATAGAGAATTGGGGTTTTTATGTGCGTATGTAAGGATTGATGGTCTGCATGGCTTTTGAAGTGGTCGTAGTGAACAAGAGAACAAGTGGCTGCGATTAGCAATAAAAATATTTAACTCTGAGTTTTGTAATCAGATTATTTAAAACACCAGCTATTTCTGTTTACAGATAGGTTCATAAGGTTAAAACTAAAACCTTTTCATGAACCCCTTGTGATTTTGCTTTGTTTCAAGCAGCACTTAGGTCTTACGTTTGATCCTGAAAAGGCTCTGTTTTCAAAACGAATCTTTTTGATTTTTCAAAATGTATTTAAAACCCCAATGCCTTTTTTGCCCCTGTGGGAAAAAAAGTACATCAACTGACTAGCACTGCAGAAATATTAAGAATGTTATTTTATTTAAACCTTTTCTCAGGTGTATATTAATACAAAATAAAGCTATTTCTTGAAAAGAACAATTCATCAATTCTCATTATTTCTAGCTCTACACTCTTTAGACTTACTTATAATTTTGACATACTGGATTACAAGTTTTATCTTGAAGTAGAATTGCCAAGAATGTGTCTTTTTAATTCCTAAAGGAGGATCTGTACAATTTTGTTCTTAAATAGCCTCTTTTTGCAAGAGAGCTCTATAGCTGCTGTAATCTGTATATAACCAATTGTACTTATCCTATAAAATCCCAGGCGGATTTCATTTTGGAAATCTGGTGTCAATTTAAACCATAAAGTTTGTAGGGATAGGCTTTGACACTTGCTTCTTCAATTAAAAAAAGGGGATAGTTTTTGCCTTCTGTTTTTTTTTTTAATTAATTACTGTTATTACTGTAATAGAAATACAGCTTTGGCACATAGATTGTTCATATTTCTCTACATACAGTTTTTGCTTCTGAAGCTCTGTGCTAATGAGTCAAGTAGTTGAACGTTGAGGATTGTCTGTGCTTTAGATGAACAGAGATGAAGTAATTGACAGAAAATTAAGAATATTTTGTTGATTATCCTGGTAGGTTATTTATAGTTCCTATTTTAGTGGTCAGAATCTTTCTCCCACAAAGTCCTACCAAAGTTTTCTTCCGGTGTTTAAGGTGAACATTTTTGTCGTACTTAGCAGCAACAGCCATGCTGGATTCTTGCTTCCAAAGGGCTTCACAGGGGGAAATGACTTGGGTTTGGGTGCAGGGGGGGGCGGGCCTGGGAGGGACTTGTGAGAAAGGACAGAAGCAGTAAGAAATCAGATTTTTATTAGTTGCACATTTCAGGTAACAACCTTTTTCTAACAGGAGGCATAACAACGGACACTGAGCTACCTATATAGCTCGTATAGAGGATTTCAGTTGCTACACAGCAAGTAGGAGAAGGGAATACACCCGAGGGCTCTAACGGAGTTGGGAGATTAAGAATAACGAAGAAAAGCTGGGCCACGGGCCCCTTCCACCCCTGCACAGAGAGTAGAGAGAGGACAAGAAAATGTCTGGGACCAGCGGTTTCCAGCATGAATGTTGCTGACAAAGAATCCACTGTTGCAGATGCGTGTGTGTACCAAAGCTGGACACATGAAAAGTTATTTAAAGTGTCATTTTGATATTTTCTATTTATCGCATACTAAAATAAAAATTACTGATTTGTGTTTGAGCCCTTCTCTGGAATTCTACATCCTTTCCGAGCCTGAGACCTGTTACTCATAACTCTCACTCACAAATTTTGCAGCCAAAAAAACAATTTGCTTTAGCAATCCCCCTGAAATAGCAGAAGCATCAAAAGGCCACTAATATACAAAGTCACAAGTTCAAAAACGTTTGAAGTTTAAAAAAAAAAACAAACCTGTTTCTCCAACACTGCTGTCATACACATTGTATCATCTTTAAGTGGAAGTGTAGCCATTATCTGGGGAAAACTTTAGAACAAGGTAAAGAACTTACTTAAAGGTTGGAGTTTCTGGTCTTATTAATATATTGATTAGGAAAAAGGGTTTTTTTGAATAAAGATAGCATTAAAAACAGTTATGTAATTTTAAAATACTCTTAATTGCTTGAAAGCTGTAGAGTAAGAGCCAGTGTCAGAAGACACCAAATCACAGAAGTTCTTGATGAAGTTAAACCTTGCCCTCTGCTGCTAAAACCCCCCAAACCCAGAGGTATTAAAAGCTCTTTGGACATCTTTTGAGAAGTAATCTTGACTGCTACGGTTTGCATCTCATCGTGTGGTTTATTTTGACACTGAAGACAGACCAGAACCTTTGCAGCAGTAAATCACAATAAAAATATCATTTAGTAAACAGGAGACAATCAGGCCAACTACTATTATGACTTAAAAAATATGAGATTTCAAAATTTTTATTTCTGCAAGCTCGGTTATCCATGAGGAAATAAGAGAAATGGCTTTTCATAGATATGTAAGCATCATCACAGTTAACTTTAGGACAATTTTAGTCAATTCTTAGTGATTAAACTAGAAACCTAAACACTGTGAGAAGAGAAAGGGGAAGATGCCTTTTGTAACACTACAGTCCAGTTCGATGGCCAGAGGAGACAGAGGTTAACTCAGTTTGAGACCGAAATGATGGAGATCTGCAAGCTAAAATTACACCTTGGTAATAAGGGCTAAACGAAGAGCTACAGTCAGTCGTGTTTCCAAGTAGACCCCCGTTAGCCAGCTGGCTGGAGGGAACGATCACCGGTTGTAAGCAGAGCTTTGTACCCACGTGTTTCAGACGCGCTCTGCAAGCGATTAAATAGCAAACAGCCCTGGGTTTGAGTGAGCAGCACGCTGCCCTTAAGCCACCCTCCCCAAAGGGCACGGCTGAGCCCCAGAGTGCCGCTGCTCAAAGGCAGCGGAAAGAGGCCAGGCCCCTCAAGAAAGCTTCACCTCAGCCCCAGCTAAATGTCCAGCAACAAATGGTTTTTTCCACTTTCCCTGTGACTGAGGCTGATCTCTCCAGTTTAAGGCCAATTGTAAGCAATCTGTGGTTGGTTGGTTATTTAACCAACACACCTGCCCAGGCCTCCTCAGTAGTTAGCCCCTCTAACATAACGCTGAGGTCAAACAATATTCCCAGCCTTTGGCACTTAGCAGTAGCTGCCTTTTAAAATAAAAAAAAAAAAAAAAAAAAGTGCATTTCAGTCCATGATCCCCCAAGGGAGGAAGACACTACTGAAGCTGCCCCCAGGCCAGGCACACGCTCTCAGGCGCTCCTGGGCTCAGCCGCCCTCTTCCTGACTCAGGTGTTTCAGGGCACCCCCCCCCTCGGTGGTGCCAGACTTTCTTCCTGCACCTTACGCTGCGCCTTGGTCCCAAATGACCCTCTGAAGCAGAAGCCAGTGAACAACGATGCAGTGACGGTGATCATCTTGCACAGAGGGTAGTAGACCCCTAAAGTTTTGGGCACTGTATCTTTACTACTGCTATTCTTAGTATTATGTCACCTGTACTGTCTGTAAAAATTGTGTCAGTCCATTTATTTTGTAACCCCACAACTATCTCACCTTGGATGCTAAAGTCAAAAGATCCTAAGTTACAGACAATACATTTTTTTCTTAAGTACAAGAGAATAAAGAAAAACCTGAAACTTCACTGTTTTGATTGATAGCTTAAAGAATGATGTCAAATAGACAAATACATTTACAGGTCATTAAAAAAAACACACACACACACAGTTATTAACACTCAAAAAAAAAAAAAACTTCCATGAAGTTAAGCAAAAAAAATGAAACAAGTTTGACGTGGGTCTGTAAGACCACCAGGGGGCTAGCAGCACCTGCAGGCATTTTGGTGATGGCGCTGCCTCTTTTGGCTCTTACCGAGGTTGGCTCCTCACTTCAGGAAGTATTGGTGGGAGTGACAGAAGCCTTACAAAAAGCAAACTAAGACTTTGGGAGGATACTGTTGATTTGGCGTGAACAGCTCAGGGCAAGGCCACAGGCTTCAAAACCTGCCCGTCTCATGGGGCAGCATTAGTCCATTGAAAGAAACTTGGGGGCATGGGAGGGGCAACACCACTGAACTGGCCCCAAAATTGATTCTGGCTTCGTGACTCTGCTGTACTTAGAGTGAGCACCAAGGCAGGCAGCAGGAGACATCACGGGGTGGCTGAATTTCCCCTTTTCCCCTGGCAACCCCTGCCCTGTCCACTCCTGGTCTTTTTTTCCCCCGGCTTGAATCACTCCTGGCTTTTAAGTCTCTCTGTCCTTGGCATTAGTTATCATTCCCCTTCCTCTCCCCCCCCTTAAGGTTGTCAGGCTGAACGGCACTGAGAAAAGCCACGTCACAGGGAGAAAACACAAAATGAGATGAGAAGGCAGCAGCTCACTAACTTCTGTCCATGTTACCTTGCAAAGTCTCATCCTGTAAAGCAAAGCTGGGAAAATCAAGACTAGGACTGTCCAGCTGAACTCTGGTGGCAGAGAGCTTTCTGCATGGCTTCAGTGCAAAGAGTGTAAGCTGAAATACTTATTTTAACGAAGAATTTAACTAAAATACATATTCTGAGCAGTGGGGAACAAGACCCTCCCCTCCCTACTTGTAAATCAAGATTTATGGCGGGAGTTATATTGACTCCGAAGGACTAACATTCTCAGAAGAATGCTGCAGTGGGCTGAGCTAGAGTGCACAGAGGTTTAGAAATATTCATGTCCTTCAAAAGGTTTGATGCAAGAGAGTTCATTATTTAAAAAAAAAAAAAAGCTATAAATGCATTTTTAAGTTGGGAGGTGGCTGTTAATACACACGAAGCCGGGGTACACAGACGCTTGTCCCATGAGTAACCTGCAGTCCCAGTGCAAGAAGCAAAGACTTAAGGGTCTTTGGCAGATGGTTTCACAGCACATCCAAGGCCACCAGTGAACTAACCCCACTGGGGCTGTTGCTTTTCCTCCCCAGCTCCTTTGCGGTAGGAGCTGGGGAACAGCTGTGTGAACAGCTCTCTGGCGCTCGTTCAGCGCTCAAACCCAGAGAGCTGGCTGAAGGGGCATCAAGAATCACTTATCCATAAGCACTTGCTCCTTTACCCGATCTTTTCCCGGGCAGCAGTGTTTACCTTCTCACCAACTAGCCCGTACGCTCTTAGGGATATAACACGCTTTACCATGACATGCAGCCTCCAGGTGCAGCAGTGCAGGGCACTAATACCACTTACTTGCAGCTTGTGCAAATTTTCTGCTGCCCAGTTAAATGCTGCCCTCACAAATAAACACAGCAACATCTCCTCCTTTGTGCTAAAGCACGAGCGGGGCTACGGGGAGATAAAACACCCAGAGCGCAGGATGGAGTGTTCAAAAGTGTCGTAAGCAAACAATCCGCAAAGATGTAATAGTTCTAACGACATAAATCACGTTAGCACTAGGCTGACGCCTAGACACAACCATTCTAGTTCAGGCTGTTGGGAATTTCATAATTTTAATGCCC